GGGGGGGGGGGGGGGCTCGGAGACGGCTACCCGTTATCGCAGAGATTCAGTAGCGTAGCTAAGAAAAGTAAAGGGCAAAAGTACCGTGCGCACCCCCATATCTAGCTAGAAGCTAATCCCAATAACGGTCATTGCCTCTCAATCGAGATTGACTGAGATCATTCTCAATTATTAATTGAGTATTGTCAGTGTTGTCACCCACCATGTTCCGTTATTGGTTGATGGTGGGCATACTCGCTGCCATTATTCTGGTTGGGGTGCGACGTGCGACTACCACTACCGTACCCATGTCCACGTTACCCGCCATCCGCCTCGCGGCGACGCTGACGCCTCAAGCGGCGATCATCTTTTTCCACGGCCTCGGCGACACCGGCGACGGCTGGCTGTGGTTCCCCCAGCTCGCCCGCCAGCAGCAGATCATCCCCCACCAGGATAAGATCAACTGGGTGTTCCCCCACGCCCCCAAGATCCCCATTGCCGCTAATATGAACATGGCGATGCCTGGGTGGTTTAACATTTATGAGTTTGGCGGCAACCCCAACTCGAAACAGGACGCTGAGGGTTTTTTGGCCTCGGTGGACAAGATCAAGCAATTGGTCAAAGAACAGCAGGATTTGGGGATTAAAGCTGAAAATATCATTGTCGGTGGGTTTTCTCAAGGCGCTGCGTTATCGCTTGCGGCATTGGCGCTTTTGGATGTGAAAATCGGCGGTATTGTCGCCCTTTCTGGGTTCTGTACTATCCCCGATATCATCAAGCTGAAGAGCACCGGAGTTAACTCCGACACTCCCGTGTTCCAAGGTCACGGCACTGCTGACCCTATTGTTCCGTTTGCGCTGGGGGAAGCCGCTCGTGACTTATACAAGTCGCTTGGCTACACCAACTATACGTTCAAGTCGTACCCCGGTTTAGCTCACTCGGCTGACGAAGCGGAATTGGTGGAAGTCCAACAATTCATCGCCAAAATACTCAATAAGTAGACTGGATTTAGACTTTATTTTAGATTTAAGTTTTGAAGACTTTGTTAGATAACTATAGACTTACGATCTAAACTCGGGGTTCATGAATGAGACTGGTGGGGTCTATACATTTGAAATAGAGAATCTGAACCAATCAGTGGTAGATATAGTTAGTAGTGTGAGATGTATGGTTTGGGTGAGAGGGAGACGATAGCCAAAGATCGGGGAAATATACTGGTTAGCCACATTGGTATTTGCTTGATATTTGCCTGACAATCGCTTGACATTGTGTATTGAATCAGTAGTGTAGAGTAAAAGATTGAGTACTTATTTGGCTTCATTGATGACATGGATCATTTCAGTCTTTCTTTCGGTGACAATTGATCAAACATGGAGTGTTTGCTAGGTATATGATTGTTTGTATGTTACACCAGGTAGACGCGGAGGGAGCCGTCCCACAGCGACGTCGCCAACGCCATCCCCGTGGGTGCCACTTTCACCTGAGCTACCTGCGACTTATTATTGCCCACTTGTCCCACGATCTCTCCTCTCATCGTGTCCCACACCACGGCATGGTTGATCCCTTTATAGGTGGCGTAGATCATCCGGTACCCCACCAGCACGTCCACCAGCATGATCGAGCCCGCCAGCACCGTGGCGTCCATCTTAGCGATATTCTTATAGCTGGAGGCGTCAAACGGTAACGTGGCGATGCTACAGTCGCTGCGGCTATCGTATATACGTAACGCCCCGTCCTCGGTGCCACAGACAAACAGCAGCGAGCTCCCGTACAGTTTGAGGCACAGGACGTCCCCCAGCTTGCGGCTGATGAACAGCTGGACCGGCTGGGGCACCCGCGCGTCCCAGACGTTGATGGTGCCGTCCAGCGACCCCAGAATAAACGTGTGGGCGTCGCGGACGTCGACACAGAGCACGTCGTGGGTGTGATCGAAGGTGGTGGTGGCGAGCCCCCGGCTGACGTCCCACACCACACACATGCGGTCGCCACTCAGGGTGACGAGGGTCAGCCGGTCCATAAACCCACACCCACTGATATACTGGCGGTGGCCCCGCAACTGGGTGTCGCTATACTGGGTGACTTCGCCCTCTCTCAATCGGTAAACCAGCGCCGTATTATCTAACCCGCCAGCGACGGCGATATCTTCTCCCGGACTTAACGCACACGTCAACATCCAGCTCAGCTCCATCTTGACGGCGCTGTGTTTATACCCGGTGACACTATCCCATAAAAACATAAACCCGTCGGTAGAACACAGCAAGAGCTTCGTCAGCTGGCCCCAGCTGATCCCCGCCACCTTATCCTGGTGCAGTTTAAGCGTCGAGTGGTGGGCGAGGCGGTAGTTGGCCACGGGGTCAAACTGGGTCCGGGCGTATTCGGGGAGAGTGGTGTCGCGGAGAGATTCTTTGCGGTACTCGACCTCCATATATAACTTGCGGGCCCGGGCTTGGGCCTGTACCAACAGCATTTGAAACACACACACCCCGGGACTGTGAAACTCTCAAGGGATGTTTTATGAAGAAAAAGTGGAGTTTTTAATGTTTCGTGTGGACCCATGCCGTCGCTGGCGGCGGTGGCGCTCACCAACGCATGTCTCAATGCACGGACATGTAGATATTTTGGTGGAAGCAGCGAGCAAAGCGAGCGACAAACATAGACATCTTGGTTTTAAGTTTAATGAGTATGGTGTGGTGGTCTTGTCTTGACGACAACATCACACCCTGTCATAGTTTAGATGGATTGGGGCATCGTGTGACTGGTGAGGGCGAAGAAATTTTAATTGAACGCACTGCAAATGGGTGGGATGATCGTACATCAACGCACGTCGTTGGCGCCGCCGCCGCCGCCATCCAAGCCTCCCCAGAGTTATTCTCGATGGCACCTGGTTGGCATGGCAACTCCTTTACCACCAATATCAGTTGATCAAAATTTAAATTTTCATCTGGCTCCAATTAGCTTTGCTTGAGGATCTATTTGTTCATCTTAGATTTAGCGCGAACGTCACTGTAGCGCGGGTAAACCCAAAAGGTTTTTAATTGCAAATGAGACACTGCACCTATCGTCAAACGATACCTCGGAGACCGTCGTCCGCCTCACGTATGAAATGCTCTTGTCTACAACACGTGGTTGTGAAACCAGCTGATTCGTTATGGTTTTCGCCGATCGACATGAGATATCAAAAATTATATTTTCACCCCACAAACGAAAAAATAGTTTGGAGACAGCGCGCAACGGGCGTCACTTAAAGGCGAAAAACTAGCCGAAAAAATTAGACAGGTCGACCTCGGTGAGGATTGAACTCACGATCTTGCGATTAACAGTCGCACGCCTTAACCAGCTTGGCCACGAAGTCCTTGCGGGAGTGTCGCTGTCGGTAGCCACCCAGCGGCGACGGCCATCACTCCAAATTCCGTCTGAAGATAAAAAGCCTGAAAATCGCCTGAAAATCGCCCGAAAACCGCCTAATAAATGCGATATCAAACAACCTTATATTATACTACCTAGCTATGGTCTCATGACACACCATTCATTCAATCAGTTCAGTTATACAAATCATCGTCGTCGTCGTTACCGCCGAACGCCGCCTGGCCGCCGGACTGCTGGTTGTCGCCTTCGTTGAATCTGAAGTTGGAGAACTGGCCCCGCGACGATTGCAATTGCTGGGCGTAGGCTTCGTAACGACGCAACTCGGCGTCGGACACCGACCGCTTAGCCGTCTTCATCGCCTCTTCAAAGTGGGCGCGGGTGATGTAAGGCACGGGGTCGGCCTGGTCCATGTCGACGTCGGCAGCGTCGTCGCCGGCGGCAGCGGCAGCGGCTTCCTTCTCCTTCTTCACCTTGATCAGAGCCTCAATCGAGTCCTTGATGGCAAACTTGGCCAGGCGCTGGACAATGTACAGCAAATCGGCACCGGAGAAGCCGTTGGTGATCTTGGCGATCTCTTGCAAGTCCAAGCCGGGCTCCAAGGGGGTGTTGCGCAATTGCGCTTGCAAGATCGACAATCTCGCCGGTTCGTCGGGCAAGGGGACGTAGATCAACTGGTCCAAACGACCGGGTCTGAGGAGGGCGGGGTCGATCTGGTCGGGTCTGTTGGTGGCACCGATGACGAACACGTTCTTTTTGGCGTTCATCCCGTCCATTTCCGTAAGCAACTGGTTGACCACCCGGTCCAGGGCGCCGCCAGCGTCACCGTGGCCGCCGCCACGAGCCTTGGCGATCGAGTCCAACTCGTCGAGGAACACCACCGTGGGGGCGGCGGCTCTCGCCTTGTCAAAGATGTCACGGATGTTCAGTTCCGATTCACCGTACCACATCGACAAGAGCTCGGGACCCTTCACCGAGATGAAGTTGGCCAGCACTTCGGTGGCCACCGCCTTGGCAAGCAACGTCTTACCGGTACCAGGGGGACCAAAGAACAAGACACCCTTCGAGGGAGCAAGCCCAAACTTTTGGTATTGTTCGGGGTGCAACACGGGGTACTCGACGGTCTCCTTGAGTTCGTTCTTGATGCCGTCCAAGCCACCGATGTCGTCCCAGGTGACGTTGACGTTTTCCACGACGGTTTCCCGCAACGCCAGCGGGTTGGAGTTGCCGAGGGCAAAGCGGAAGTTCTCCATGGTAACCCCTAACGAGTCCAACACTTCGACGTCGATGGTGTCTTCGTCGAGGTCGATCAAGTCCATCTTTTCCCGGATCTGTTGCATGGCGGCTTCCGAGCAGAGCGACGCCAAGTCGGCACCAACGAAACCATGAGTTTCCAGGGCGATGGCTTCGAGGTCGACGTCGTCGGCAAGCTTCATGTTCTTGGTGTGGATCTTGAGGATTTCGAGTCTCCCTTCGGCGTCGGGGACGCCGATGTCGACTTCACGGTCGAAACGACCGAAACGACGGAGGGCGGGGTCGATGGAGTTGGGGCGGTTGGTGGCAGCGATCACCACCACGTTGGAGCGCGCCTTCATCCCGTCCATCAACGTCAACAATTGCGACACCACCCGGCGTTCGACTTCACCATTGGTCTTGTCACGCTTAGGCGCGATGGAGTCGATTTCGTCGATGAAAATGATCGCGGGCGAGTTCTTTTCCGCTTCTTCAAACGCTTTACGCAAATTCAGTTCCGATTCACCCGCCATCTTCGACATGATTTCCGGCCCGTTGATCAAAAAGAAAAACGCCCCGGTTTCGTTGGCCACCGCCCGCGCCATGATCGTCTTACCGGTACCCGGGGGACCGTACATAAGCACCCCGCGGGGCGGCTTAATCCCGATCAGCTTGAACAATTGCGGGTGGCGCAACGGGAGTTCCACGAGTTCTCTGATCTGCGCCATCTGCTTCTTGCAACCCCCAATGTCGTCGTAACCGACTTCGTTAAGGGTAGAGTCTTCATCTTCACGGTTGATGGGTTCGCCTTCGCAGTGGATAATGGTATCCTGGGCGACAATGGCGATATCTTCCGGGTCCACTTCCACCACTTTAAATTCAACTTGTCTCATCCCCCCACGCACGGTGAACAAGTCACCTTTACGCACAGGGCGGTAGGCTTCGACGAAATAGGGCTTAAGGAACATGTCGAACAACAGCCCCGTCAAACCCTCAACGGTGTCAGCTAAGGGCAACACCGAGATCCGGTTGGCATACTTGATGTCGGGACAAGGGTGGACGGTGATAATGTCGCCAAGGCGCACCCGCAAGTTGTTACGGACGACGCGGTTGATGCGAGCAACGCCGTCCTCCATGTCGTCGTCCGCCAACGCGATGAGGACGGTGTCCTTGCGCTTCTTCCCCTTGATCAACACGGTGTCGCCGCGGAACAATTGCAAAAGCTCCATCGTCGCCAGGGACATGGTGATGATCAGGTTGTCGTCGTTGGTGGCGTCGTCGACAAGGAGGGCGTTGTCCTTCTTCTTGCGGCGCAAGATCGCCGTCGCCGTCTTGTCCTCGGCCTGGTGCTCTCCCAGGGCGTCGACAATCGGTTTTCTCTCTTCGTCGTTGGCCATTTTGTGGGTGGTAAAGGACGAGTCGAGGGTGATATAAAGTGAGTGAGCGTGGCGATTACTTTTTGCCACCGCGAGTTGCGAGCGCGTGCGCAGGAAATCGTCGTGCACGAGGGTGGAACCCCATCGAACCCCAGAGCAAAGCAGAGATAACGACAATGAAGCAAGAAAACAAAGCAAAGTTAAACTGAATCATAATCATAGGTGTGAATGGACTTGTCAATTCATTAATGGAGTCTACTTCGGTTTAGTCAGACGCCTAGTTGTTGTCGGAGGACTGGATCGGAGTTGTGGGGCAAGTCGCCACTAGACGTCACGTGTGGATCGGAAATCACTTGAGGGGACTACCTGAACAATCTGAAAAAGTCATGTGTCGGACTAATATTAACTAAACTTCTATAGTCTCGTTTGATGGGCGTTATAATTGGTATTGGTTGGTGGGGGTCGCGCCACGCTTGCTCGTCTCACGTATCTCTGAAACCATAACATTCACCCATTTTGTGAAACCCAATAAATATATTGACGAAGCCACTGTGACAGTTTTGCTACAAAGATAAAGTGTTACCCTGGAAAGTTTGAGAAATCAACGAAATCTGGAGATTTTCATAGGTCATATTGGGACGCGGCTACCTCAGATCCGGAAAATGCCGAGATCCCCACGTATAGTCTAATCGTAATTACGTTTATGTCTTATTTATTCGTTTGGTTTATTACTTCGTGGGTTGGTGTACTTACGCCTTCAGCTGCAAGTACTCGTTATGCAATTTCTCCTGTTGTTGCCATTGCTTCATCAACTTCTTTTTGGCACTTTTACTCACCTCTTCCCCCTTGGCATCCTTGGTAGGGATCCCCTGGTCGTCCCATTCCAGATAAAGCGAAGCATCGCGGAACATATCTTGAGGAGCCACCTTCAGCTTCTCTAACCGTTCGGCGGCTTTCCTCGCCGCCTCAGCAGCAGCGGCAGCCTTTTTAGCTTCCTTAGCCCGGGCTTCACGTTCCTTTTCCTGTTGTTGCTTGATGATCGCCTGCTTCTCATCATCCGATAAGAACTTAATCAACGCCGCCTGGTCTTCCATTTGTCCCAGTTCGTCGTTCATCTTAGGAGGACGGTCATCCAACAGCACGTTCAAATTGAGCAAATCGGCTCTCACTTGGTCACATGCGGCTAAGATCTTCAGCATATCCCCCTTGTTGATGGCGGTTTGGCGCACCAGGTCTCTGAATTGAGCTAATAACCGGTAGTAGGGGTCGGCGACTTTTTCCACCAGCGTCAGTTCCAGCAGTTGCGAGGCTGCCAGAGCCCACCCGAGGCCATCTTCACGCACAGTAAACCCGAGTTTAGCCAAAGTTTGCGTGACATATTGGGCCACGTCCACTACCGGTTCAATACGCAATTCGCTCTTACCGGTGTCACAGCCACTTAAGTAAGTATTAGTCTTGGAAACGATCGCACCAAGGGCTTGAATCGCCCCTGAAGTGTTGATGTTATCGCACAAAGCGGCGTGGACATCGTCTTGAGCCTGAGTCAAGTCCTTAAGCAATTGCTTTTCCACATCGCCCAACTTCTTCAGAATGATTTCCCCTTGAGCGATACGACGGTTATAGTCGTCAACCAAAGCTCTCACCTTAGTAAAGAACTTGGAGAAAGTCGCCTCGGTGGTCTTCACTTCGTGGACCAACGAATCCTTAAAATCCATCGGCTTATCCCATTGAGTCATGGCAAACACAAGTCTCAATTGTCTCGGCGAGTGTTGCGCCAATGCCTCTTCAATGGTAATGAAGTTCTTAAGCGATTTCAGCATCTTTTGCCCCTGGATGTGTAAGTGGCCCAGGTGCAAGAAGTAGTTGACCCACTGTTGGTTGTTGTAGTAAGCTTCCAGTTGAGCCAATTCGTTATCGTGGTGAGGGAAGCACAAATCGATCCCACCGGAGTGGATATCCAACACGTCACCAATCATATCCAGCGCCATCACCAGGCACTCGATGTGCCAGCCCGGACGACCCTTACCCCACGGCAGTTGCCAGAACGGTTCACCGGGCTTCAGCGCCTTCCACAAAGCGAAATCAACCAGATTACGCTTACCGTCGCCAGTGGACAACAGCCCTTCGCCGTCGGCAATAAGCAGCATATCCCCCTTTGACCACGGAGCTAACTTAGCGTAGTCATGGTTAGGACTATTCTCAAATTTCACAACATCGAAATATACCAGGCCGTCAGCAGTAGCGTAGGCGTAGCCGTTAGCGACGATTTTCTCGACGTAGGCGATGATTTCGGGGATATACTCGGTAACCCTGGTAGTGACCAGAGGAGGCAAAACATTAAGCGTTTCCATCTCGGCGAGGAACCGGTTTTCCCAGTGGTAAGGCAATTTACGGAAGATTTCCGGGTCAGTAACGGAAGCACCGTATTCCTTATCGAGGGCAATAGACACAAATTCCTCAACTGCGGGCAAGAATTCTGAGAGTTTCACTTTGTTAGTGATAGCCTTAGCCCCGTTAGTCGCCGCAGTGTGGTACATAGGGAATTTAGGCTTTTCCGTGGCGAATTGTTGAGGGTCGACTTGCCACGTCAAAAACGCCTCGGGAGTGGCTTCCCCGGTGTATTCCGGTAAGTTCTTCGCCACATACTGTTTCCAGCTGTCAAGAGAATACTTTAAGAGCTCATCAGTCACCTCAGTGTACTGTTTTCTGACTTTTTCGTCGAACAAATATTGGTGACGAGCGGCGACGATAATCTTGTCGTCAACATCGGTAAAATTCAGCACGAGGTAAACGTTATAGCCAAAATGGTCGGCCAACACTCTCCGGACCAAGTCAAAGTGCATGAACAGCTTCAAATGGCCCAAATGCAGCGGGGCGTACGGGGTGATGCCACACTGGTACCACGCCACGTGTCCCGGTCGTTGGGGGACAAACACTGTTTTCAGCCGGGTCAATGAGTTGTACAATTTGAGCTGGGGCTGCTCGGCCTTGGCGGTGGCGGGGGCATGCCACGTAGGTTGTTTGGCACTCGACATGGCCCGAATTATCCTTTTCATTTTCGCGATGGCACCCCCGCCGCGTTAGTTGAAGGAAAGAAACAGAGAAGAGATAGGCTGAAGTGTTTTAAATTAGATAGGAGACTGATTGAGTGTGGTTTTGGATGAACTGGATTGAGGAGAAGTTTAGGAAATTAGCTGCTGAGAGTGGAGACTATCGTTGTTGGTTTGTATTGTTGACCACGCGCGTTTTCAGTGTGGCGTGAGACCACAGTACTCGAAACCAAGTGACTCACGAAAACAGTGAAAGCAGTGGATACCGTGGAAATAGAAATGAACGGAGAAGTCTCGTATAAACATTCTTCTCTGCGTAAAGCTTAAAGTTTACACTACGGGGGGGTTTTTTTTTGACTCATCAGAATAGAAAGTGATCGCATGCTACCCTTGGCTGTTGTGTTGAAACTAGGCATGTTTCCAGCCAGGGGTGCTCAAACGCAAATTAAATCATCATTGAGTCAATTTTAAGTCGTCGTGCCCTTGATCAGCAATGACCTCACCGCTGTATAACGGGCACGCGTGGTAACACTAGTATAAGCTAGTAGTTCTCTATTTATAGAGAGGGGGACTCTTAAACTGGTGTGGGTGCGACTGGGTGCGCACGCTGATCAAAGTTGGGTACCCTGTGCCACGTGACTTAGGGTTACCACCCCCACCCGCACCGGCACCATCCTCGCGAACAAAAATTTCACCGCCTTCAGCCCAGCTAGTCACCACAAGCCATGTCGCACACCACCGTCAAAGCCGCTAACTGGAGATTGGTCGAAGTTGGCCGCATCGTCCTCGTCAACAACACCGAGCTTGCCACCATCGTCGAAATCATCGACCAAAAGCGCGTCCTCATCGACGGCCCCAAGATCGCCCGCCAGGCGATCTCGCTCGCCCGGGTCACCTTGACCCCCTTGGTGATCAAGGTCCCCAAGGGCGCCAGAACCGGCACCGTGCACAAGAGATGGGCCGCCTCGGGCGTCGACGCCAAGTGGGCCGCCACCTCGTGGGCCAAGAAGTTGGCCTCGAGACAACGCCGCGCTGAGTTGCTGGACTTTGAAAGATTCCAAGTCATGGTGTTGAAGAAGCAACGCAGATACAACGTGAAGAAGGCTCTTGCTAAGGCCTAATTTTAGCGCATATGTATAATACACAGTAATGACGGACCCACCCACGGTCACTATCGGATTATCTTGTAGATATGGGGTCTAGCCATCTCGACTCTTACCATCACTCTGGGCTCTCTTTGAGCCTGAGTACCCTCAACGTGTTCATTTCAGTTGACACAGCTGTCACCTTATGTGCGCATCCCTGTCGGTATTAAAGCGCTGATGACATTGTTTGTATAAGGCAAAGTATTATCCGAAAAAATGATAATAGACTACTTTGAAACTAGCTGATGGTGGACTACAGTGCTGCTTCTGTTCACTGAAACAACGAACTCCTTTGGTGTTTCTTTTGGAAATGGTGACAAAGCCATAACTTCATTGTGAGGAAAATCTCTCTCAAGTGATAGCATAAAAACATGAAAATACTGCTAGAGAGTTGATATGGCTAGCTGTGTTTGCCAACTCGATGAATGATATCGGTGATAGTTGAAGTTGAACCCTGTGGGACCATTTTCTTGGAGTTTCCTAGGCCGCTAAAGATTTCCAAAACTATGCACAGGTCTAAGCTAAGGGGCTAACCATGCTGTACACCTTTAACAGCGAGTGTTACTACCATGCTGGACCCTGAAGACTCTGGTGTCCTCGTCTCTGCGCTGTCGTTTATTATTAATTCTCCAAATTTCCAGAAGTTATTGGAGAAACTCGATACTAAAGAACAACGTCAGGAGATGGTCCAGTTCGCTCATGACAACTACGTCTACAAAGTGAGATTCCAGGAAACCGTCAGAAACAAGACGGACCCAGATATTATGTCCACGTTGACTACTTTGGTTCAATACGTCAACGGTATTCCCAAAATTAAACCTGAAGAACGCGCCAAGATGGCTCTAGGGTATGCTGAAGCTCAACAGGAATTGGAACACCGCAAACAGATGGTTAAAGATACCCTCACGGCGATGCTGGCCACCAACGATAGCACTGAACGCCGATGCCTTGGTAAAGACGCCATCAGAAAGGTTGCTGCCCTGGACGAAGCTATCATTACTCGGGTCCGGGAAATATGCCATGACATTTATGGCCTCCATATAAGCCACAAGGAATTTATCGATCAGAAGTTGGACGAGTTATCCCGGGGGCACATGTCGTTTATCAGAGCCGAATCGGAAAAGTACAAGGAGTTCATCCGTGACCGTATCGCTGACTCACGCATCCCTAAGCGGTATTTCTATGAAGCTATCCTCGTCTCGGGAGAGGTGGCCGTCGAAGCTGATCCTGAAAACATATCGTTAATCACCCAATGCCCCATCTCATAAACTCCTTTATGAAACATATTGATGAATGAGATTAATAATGAGTAATGACACACACAAACTTCTTGACATCAAGCACATAATACATTTGAAAGTAATCCAAATTTGCTGTCTCATTTCAACTATTAAATTGATTGATGTTGGTGAGAAACCATGCAACAAGGACCAATTATATTTCTGAGCCATCTTCTACCAAGGCAGCATTCCAAAGACTTTAAGTGGTCTATTTTTTGCATTCCCTCATTCCTGTCTGGCTTACATCAGTGAAAAATGACTTATGCTGTTGTTCCAAGCCGGATAAGAGAAAACATCAGGAACAGAAAACTCGCGAATTGTGGCGATCAAACATGGTTCTAGCTCGCAAAAAGGTGTTGATCTGAATCCGAGACAAAACCAGAACTCGCCCATGAAGCAGATAATATATCAGGCACCCTGGAAACCCAAAAACGAGCCATAAACGCTGCCCCTGCCATCATCTGACTTTGCTAGTATTATCCCCGCCGTAACAAGCCTGGTTAGCTCAATCGGTAGAGCGTGAGACTCTTAATCTCAAGGCTGCGGGTTCGAGCCCCGCATTGGGCTTACTTTTTGCAGGACTACACTTCACTTTGATTCTGATCAAAATCATAGTTCTCCTAATTCTTTTTAACATTCAAATTATCTTATTCTTCTCGTGTCTCATTACTAGAAAATTCTACTCTATTTATAAATGTGTCTCACACCTCGATCAGCTCGGCCATGTCGTCCAAATCCAACGGGATCAGCTCCAGCTCGTCCTCGGCAAACGTGTCTTCCAACTCCAGTTCACCAAACAACTTCTCGTCGTCGTGATCCAGGTCGACGTCCAGCAGCATCTGCTGTTCCAAGTGCAATGTGTGGTCAACCAAGTTCAAGTAGGCGTACATGAAGTTCAGCAAAAGCACCTGTTCCCTTAACAGCCTCTTGGGGTTGGCAAGCTTCAAGTGCAGCAATCGGTAGATGGCACGTTCCACATGGACGGGGAACCGGTAGTCCAACATAACAAGAGTCAGGTGCAGCGGTGGTGGCAACGGGAACCCAAACGCACTATCGGTAAACTCGATCGGTTGATTGGCTTTGGAAGTACGCCGGATCTGTTTGCGGAGCTTCTCCTGAACTTCAAGTGTCAGCGCAAGCGGCTTCTCCTCTTCAACGGGAGTAGCAGCGTTGGAGGCGTTGGAGCCGGTACCAGCGTTTGAAGTAGTACCGGGAGTTACCGTAACAGTCGGAGCTGTACCAGTAGAGTCCTTCACTGCTCTCAGCTTAGGCTTAACCTGTTCTTCCTGAGTCGCCACCACGGGGTCGTACAAGTACTGTTGCGGCGAAGTGGGCGAGGTAACCGCACCGTCATCCATGCCAGTCTCTTCGTTCACCGCGGGGATAACGTCAACACCACCACTGTGGTAGTGAGGACGTGCTTCCAGCAGAGGAGTGCGCAGGTGTTGGCGCCTGTCCCCACCATCCAGCGACGCCGCCAGCGCCGCCAGGTCCAGCAGGTGTACCAGAGGGAACAGGTGGATCAGCGCCAGCGACCCACCCAGTGGTGTCGGTGGAGTGGGCTGTTGTTGTTGCTGTTGCTGTTGCTGTTGCTCCTTTTGTGCCGTAGCCTTGTTCTTCTTCTTGAAGAGCTTAGTGATCATGTTCTCCTTTGCCACCGGTGCCACCGGTGCTGGTTGTACGCTAACTCCTTGGTTCAGGTCTTGCAGCAGCTTGGTAGCGTCCAGTTCCTGGCTCACACGACGATGGCCAGTACTGGTGGAGGCATCCTCAGGGTTCAGCACCAGTCTCGGTACCTTGACGTTATCAGGCACGGGAGGTAAGTTCTGAGAGTCTACCAGCAGGGTCAGCACCAGTCGGTCACGGAGCCACGCCCACAGCTTCTTCTTCTTCAAACGTTTAGTGGGCAGTTTTGGCTCGCCACCAAGAATGCCAAACAGCTTCTTCTTCTTGAGTTTGGTCGGCGACGTCTGTGGCGTCAGCGTTTCAACGGGTGCCAGCAGGAGACCAATATTGTTGGAGGTACTGGCAGTAGTAGCGCTAGTAGAACTGTGGGCGCCAGTGCTTTGTACACTGTGAGCACCAGCACTGTGGACGCTGTGGCCGCTGTGGGTACTGGCATTGCTGTGGATACTAGCCTGAGGACGGTGGTTAGCACGATGGCTAGTGGTGGGGGGTGCTTGGACACTAGGAACATGGCCACCAGCAATGAACGCCAGCGAGGGAACCACGCCTTCTTCCAAAGTCGGCAGAGGCAACTCCTGCTTTTGGTCAGCATTCGCGTGGTGGTCAATTACCCGCTGAGGCTCGTCTTCACTCAGATGGTCGTCATCGGCGTCGTGGCCTTTATCAAGCAGATGAGGCACTTGTTGGTGGCGGTACTGCTTCGGCGGGTGCTGAAGGCGCACGGGTTCCTTCTGGGAGGGCTTAGAGTGCTGTACAGGTTGTTGCCTCTCTTTGGGGTACTCAACGGGACGCTGTTGCTGTTGCTGTTGTTGTTGGCGGCCTTGGTCGTGGAGGTGAGCTGAGCGACCGTAGCCGTCGCCAAGCTTACCTGGGACGACTACATCTTCATCCAGCAGCGAGTAGTCGTCGATGGCCACGGGTTCTTCCGCTCCGGGTTCGTCGTAGGATAACTCAAATGAGAAATCCAGCTCGTTGCCCTGAGAGTCGCCGCCACCAAACGTTTCCTGAGACAAGTTATTCGCCACATTGTTAGCCACGTTGTTCGCCGGTTGCTTCTTGGCACGAGTGCCGTCGTCTGACTTGGTAAGCAGCTCCTTGAACTCGTTAATCTCCAGCCGTAATAAGTCGAGGTTCTGGGAAAGCTGCGCCGTACGCGGGTGAGACGAGTACTGCTGCTGCTGCTGCTGCTGCTGTTGATGTAGTTGGCCACGGCGCTGTTGTTGTGGCTGATAATGCTGAGGTTTCTGACCGTGTTGTTGGGTAGCCAGCGGCGGCGACGACCCGTAGCCCTGGCCCGGAGGTCCCTGAGGGTAGGGTCCTGAAACCTGACTGTTGGCAATCGGCTGCGCCTTAGACCGCGCGTGGTGTCGCTGCTGGGGGGCCTGCTGAGACTGAGGTCCTGGGTATCCTTGCTGGTGACCTTGCGGTCCCTGGTGGGGTCCTTGGCGATGATGATGCTTAGGCGCTGGCTGAGGACCCGGGTACGGGCCCAGTTGTTGGCGGCGCTGGTAGCCCTGGTGGTAGTTCGGCTGCTGCTGCTGCTGCTGCCCTGGGACGCCATGAGGCTGTTGTTTCTTATGCTGTTGAGGGGGGTATCCGCGTTGTTGAGGTTGAGGTTGGGGCTGTTGTTGATGCTGAGGCCAGCCACCGCTTTGGGCACCAGGCGCCGCTTGAGGGTACGGTCCCGCTTGGCGTGCTGCTTGACGCGGCTGGTGCTTGCGATGAGAGGCGCTGGCAATGGCGCCGACGGCGCCAGGGATATTCTGGTGCCCCCGAGGGTCCGGCTGTTGCTGTTGATGCGGCTGGGTATGCGGCTGTTGTTGATGCTGAGGAGGCGCCTGCCGTTGCTGTTGCGCGGGCGGCTGTTGATGCTGCGGCAGAGGACGCCGTTGTTGCTGGGGCTGAGGCTGAGGCTGGCTTTTGCTGTCACTAACAGCTCCATTCTTGGGCTCGTTAGGGTTACGGTAGCTGAACAAAAGGGTCAGGTCACGGTTGCGGCGACGCTGCTCGTGTTGTTGAGGCGTCGTAGGCGCCTGCTGTGCTTGCGCTTGTGCTTGTTTCGCTTGTTTCGCTTGTTTGGAGCCAATCTTAGCGCTGCCCAAGAAGTTATTGCGGAGTTCCTGAAGCTTACCTCCCAGCTTATTCAGTGGGGGAGTTTGCGGCGTTTGCACAGTGGAAGCAGGAGCGAGCTTATCGCCTCCCGGGTGGCGGTAGTTGGTACGCCGCGCCCGTTTAAGCAGGAACGTATCCCTCAGCGGGCCATCCTTACGAGGAGTAGAGGTAGCAGCGATTTCGTTCTCATCGACGACAATTTCGGGGCCACTAATCTCGTCATCCAAACCTTCAGGCACCGAGTCAACATCAGGACTGATACGAGCAGGGACGATGATCTTACTGTGGCGCTGACTCTTACGGCGACGAATGCCATCAGTTGGCGGGTCACGCAAATCGCGCTCCACCGACTCTCTTTCGCGAGCTAATTGCAGCTGTTGGAACTGCATTTGGAGGCGTTGTTGGAGTAATAACGTCGTCAGCATCGGGGATGAAATCAGCAGCAGCGAGCGGTCACCGGCGCCGTCGCCGTCGTCCAGGTCGTTATCGCTGAACCAGTCCTCGTCGCTATCGTACTCAACACTGACCACCGAGAGACGGTTGCTCAGCGCCATTTCGTCCATTGCTAGCCGCTCAACATCGGTATAGCCGATACTCAGCGTCGAAAGAGTACGGGCAAAAGTGGCGGCGTCGGTGCCGTCCATGCCGGCGATCTTCAGCAACTTCTCGAGTTCCAGCGTCAAGTCTCTTAACAGCACGTTCAGGTAGCGGTGGCTATCGTGTTTCAGCAGCGTCAGCCGATTGCGGTGGATCAGCCCCAGCCGCCCCACCAGCGCCAGCCGGCCTATCAGCGCCAGCAGCGCCAGTCTCGACAAGTCGTCGCCGTCAGTGGTGGCGCCGCCGCCTAGCAGTTGCGGCAGCAGCAGCAGCGGGTCGCCGATTTGGCGTTGGAGCTCGTCTACTTGATGGCGGACGTGGGAACGGAACTGTTCCGGGTCGATTTCCGGGTGGGCCAGCGCCGGCACCCAGAGTAAACGCAGCGGGTTCTCGATGATATCAACGGAATCGTCAGCATCGTAGAATTGTTCGTCCTTAGTGGGCAGAGTGGGGGCCACCAGCAGCGGCGGTGAAAGCGTCACCAGCGGCGCCGAGGACAGCGCTGGTGCTGATTGCAGTACCTGGGGCTGCCTTTGGGGCGAGGGTTGTTTCCAGTGAGGCGGCGACCGTCCTGGGGAGCGTCCCGGCGAGTCAGGGGTGCCCCAAGTGAACTCGTTATCGGCGTCGTCGTCGTCCCAATCGGCCCCCTGAGCCAATAGCTGGGGCAGCGGTTCGTCAAATTGGGCTTTCAAATTGTGGATATCGATATCGTCCATCGGGACATCGGGGTTATAGTCCATCATGTGGCCAAGCAGCAACCGCTTGAGCGCCGCGACCATCTTCTTTTCCTGCTCGATGTTGGCGACCGCCAGCTCGTAGTTCAGCTTTAGCAGCAGCGCCAGCACGTTTGAAGTGGTCAGCACCGCCAGGCGGTCGGGGGAGAGCGAGTGGGCAGGGTCCCCCGGCTCCATCGACCCGTGTTTGCGGTACACCATTTAGCAGCAGAGTTGCGTGCTGTTGTTTTGATGAAAGGAGGTGTACTTTAAAAGGTGGGATCGCAGCGGGGCAGGCAGGATTGGGTTTGGGAGGGTGTGGTCGGGGGGTGGTTGGTTGTTTACCCTGGAGGTTTTGTCAGCTTCTCTGATCTGAACGATTGAAATTGTTCGCGGGTGGCCTCTTCGGTTATATGCAGGTGGTGCGACCTCGAAAAGAAAATTAGCCACGAAATCATAGCGACAACAGAGATTAATTTGAGAAAATAGTATTGGGATATGTTTATGATTATCACTAATGTGTAGAGTGTTTGGTTGTGGTGAGACTGGTATAGTTTTATTTGCTGTTTCATCGATAATTTCATAGTTCTTTCGTAGTTAACTGCGAATCGGTGAGGCAAGCGACCGCCCCTGATTTTACGCGTAGCGCCACGGCACCACTACTTAAGCTAGAGAAGTGGGGATCCTAACACAAAAACGAATGCAACGTGAAAGTGAAGAAATCAACCTATAAATGGTGTGATTATAACTTTGGATATCGTGAATTAATACTTCAACTGGAAAAATTGCCACTGTTGTTAAGGGTTAAGGGGTACACATTATCTGTTGAGGCCATCGCTCAAAGACGCGCGTGTTGACGTGTCGCGGTCGACGTGTCAGTCAAGCGAGCACAGGCAGCACTGGTAGCGCTGCACCGCGCGCGGGCGAGCAAATTTAGGGGTAGCGAATTTCTCGCGGTGGGACAAAATCACCCGTGCCGCAAATATGACACATTTCTAGAGCGTTAACCTTATCCGGGCAATAATCGTTTATTAGGAGGAAATGAGGGTTAAATTCATCGGGCTTTGTAGGCCAGTTGCAAATGATTGCGAGCCCCGTAAAGGTGCGCGTCTTCGGTAACCATTTGGTAGATAGAGAGAGAGCCCCAATTACACTATGGGGATATTGAACCAACTGCGGTACTGCCAGAGCCACACAAGATTGTCAATGTTATTATAGCCGAGTCGGGCGGCGTACAACGCAATGAACGCAGCCACAAGGAAGTACCCGGCATCGGTAAACTGTGATTTGCGATGAGCCGTCATCACCGAAGTAATTGAGGGTGACACCGTATCGGTCGTTTGTGGTTTGGTGGCATCCTCGTCATCGTCAGTAGTTTTCGTTTGTTTCGTGGATGACGATGGTGACAGCGCTGTTTGTGGTGTAGTTGGCTCAGCTTTGACTTTCGGTTTGAGTGGTTGTGACAGTCCCTGTAGCGGTTCTTCATCGGCTTCTCGAGATCTCGGTGGGGAAGGGGTGTTCACAATAGTCTGCTCTTCTTGTGTAGGCGGCTCTGGTTCAGCATTTTGGGTGGTGGGCTTGGATTCAGTCTCCTCTCTTTGGGTAGTAGCCTTTGATTCAGCTTTTGTTTTCGGGGTCAGCTCGGATTTAATGGACTCTTCTCTCTTCGGTTTCGTCTCACTAGATTCTCTGGATTTAGACTTAGCCACATTAGAATCACTGGTATCGGGCTTCGTCTCACTGGGATCACTGCTTTTGGGCTTAGTCTCATGTGATTCTCTCGTTGTTGATTGCAGCTCGTTGTCGGTAGCAGGGGTGTGTACGACAGAACTCAGTCGGCTGTGTTCGGCACCAATTGACGACGGCAGGATGTTACGAGACGCCAGCGTCTCTGTGCCGTTAGTCGGGTCCGAGTTGCGTCGCGGACGACTCATGGGCTCCGTAATCACCCGTCGAGCCACACGAAGCCCCTCGCTTTTTGTTCTTTGGATCTCCAGATCCATCTGGTGGAAAAGGTGTGAAAGCTCATCGTATTGGTGTAATTCGGGATCAACCTCAGTACCAGAGGTATACCGAGATGCAGGAGTATATCTGACATCGGGTATCAGCACTGGTTCCACTGAAATCGGCTCAGTCGTCGTCTGTCTCAGTTTAGGCAATGGACGACTATAGCCATACAGCGACGACTCAGGGGGTCTCACCACTCGTGGGACGGGATTGCTAGCACCATTACTCCCTCTAGTAAACGATACCAGTGGCGGTGGACGCGGTACTGGGCGTGTCAGCCTCGACACTTCTGGAATATAGGTAGTAGTAGTAGCCAGTGGTGGTGGTGCCACTCGCGGGGCCGGTCTCGGGGGTTCCCACTCGGTACGTGTCTCCTTGCCTTGCCAGAGGGCCTGGAACTCGGGCGTAAGCCGTACACGACGCTTGACTCTGAGGGTTTGCGACTGTCGCTCCATGGCGTTGGTGACGGGTACAGACGCGTGGCTATTAAATGCGACCGCGTTGGTTACACCGTGAAGTCAGTGTAGCCATCAGTACACAAAGGATTAGTCAATTAATATGGTTATATTTCAGTCATGTTTGATTTTTGGCATAAACTGGCATGATTTGGAGGGATCTTGGTGGAAGGTGATCAATCTGTGTAATTCTCAATATTTGGAAATTAATGCGATCAAGCGATTTAATGAGAAATATCATCGCATCCAACAATATGTGGTATCAATGTTTCGAGTTCGAGTTTTGAGCATACGTAAACAATTAATGTAATACTCAATTGATCGTGTTGAAGATACCAAGGGATCATGAAGCTGGTGTAGTCAATAGTTCCACATAATTGTACCATGTTGTACTCATTGCACCTTCATGCCAACGGTTTAACACCAAAAGAAAACCATGACAGTATCAAACGAAAGACAATTTTACCTTGGAACAACTAATATGAGAGACATCAAAGTGACTCCAAAGTGGAACGACTACGATATGGGACAAATTTGAAAGGTACAATTATCGGTATAATCACGTTATGCTTTTAATGTATTATCGTATCTATAACCCGACCGGGGAATCGTTAAAAAATCTCGTCACGCCCTACATCTTCAAGTGGCTGGCCCGCGCCAGGCCCCCATCCTTCTTCAAGTTACCCTTGACGTCACGCAACTCACCTTTATCGCCGATGACGGTGACGTTACCCTTGGCGAGGGTATCGATGACGTCACTCTTCTTCGCCCGCTTGGGTGCTCTCCCTTCAGCCACCGCCTGTTTCTGTTGTTGTTGCTGTACCAGTTGTCTCTCGTTGAACTGCTTCGCCCGCTTCCGCTTGGCTGCCCGTCTGAGTCTCTGTTTCTCTTCGCGAGTCAATTCCTCCTTAGAGTAGGTAAGACCCGACTTAAGCTGGACTTCCAGACGACCCAAGGCACCGTTGGCCTTAACCCTATCGTCACCAACTTTGTAAACTTCTTGAGGAGCCAAGGTAGCTGCCAGCGACACGTGCAACGGCTGCGAGTCCTCGGTGTTAATGGAAGCGGCATTATCCAGCACCGCAATCTCAATCTGCTTGAATTGATGAGGTTTAGGCACGAAATGAGCCAGACAAAGGGTATCGAGCTTATGGCACACCAGCGTGAAAAGATCCAGGATCTCGTCGTGTTGTTGTTTGACTTGTTCACTGATTTCCTCTTCACCTTGAGGCTTGGTGTAGTCGTCCTCATAAATCTCCGCTAAGGATTTGGTCAGCTTTTCCCCACTTAAGTCGAATTTCTGTTTCTTATGGAACAGAGCCACGTCGGAAATGAACCGTTTGGGTAAGTCGTCGAACTCACTATTGGCGATGCGCCGTCTAATGATGTCTTCAAGCAGTTCCGTGACTTCTTCAGTGATTACCGGTACGGGCTTAGCTGTACGTTCAAACTCTAATTCCTGGGTGTCTCTATCAGAAACCAACGAGTCCATGGGCCGCTCCTTAGCAGACACTTCCCCCTTCATCGTCCATTTCTTATCAGCCACAAGCTCAGCCTCAAGCTTTTCGATTTCCCGTTGGAGCTCGCGTTGTTTCTTCTCAAAACTAGAAAGCTTTTCTTCAGGTTCGTCGTCGTCATTCCCAGCTTGTTGGTCTTCCTCTTCTTCATCGTCGTCAGCAAACAAATCAAGACGAGCCCCCTCAACGGCAGCGTCATAATCGTCTTCATCAAGGTCTTCGTAATCCTTGACTTCATCGGATTTACTAGTAGCCTTGTCTGTCAGCTTTACAGTGCTTACTTTACCCTTAGCGTCGAAGAAGTCATCATAGTAGTCCATGCCGTCGTCGGAGCCGTCGTCAATGTCGCCAAACATATCGATTTCCTCATCGTCATTGTCGTCATCTAAGGCACCGTCGTTGTGTTCGAGAGCAAGCACTTGCTTGTTGTATTCATCGATATCGAAGAAACCGTCGTTTAAGCCGAACTTGTCTTCAGTGATCTCCTTCACCTCCCGTTGAGGTTTGGGCTTGTCTTCAACATCAGCATCTTCCTCAGCATCTTCTTGTTCCTCGTCTTCGAGTTCTCCTACTTCTTCTTCCTCGAGGTCTTCTTCTTCATCTTCGAGTTCACCGGCTTCCTCGTCTTCCTCGGGCTCCAGGCCATCAGGAAGGTCTTCTTCAGCAGAGACAAACCCTTCAAAGTCGTCTTCTTCGCTAGAGGCGCCAGCTTCGTCGGCAACTTGGTCACCAAGGGCGGTCTCCTCATCATCTTCATCTTCGTCTTCTTCATCCTCCTCCTCCTCAGAGTCACCCTCGGCGTTGTCCAAGTGGTAGCGGTCACGGAGATCGGCCACATTGCCAAGCAACTGCAGCCCTGCCCCTTCAACCACCATCTTCAGCTGGCCAAACACTTGCGAGGCATCGAGGCCATCGACGTAGATCTCATCCAACACCGAGAATTTGGGCGCGAGCGGATCCAAGTACCGCTTGGCAAGCTCGCTGAACGGATTGGTGTCCTGGCCAAGCAACGAGAACACCGTGTCGGGCAGATCACGGAGGGTTTCAAACACTTGGGACATACCTAGCGATGAGATGAGGTCGCACCCTCATTGATACCACTGGTGGTTATATGCACTACCATCCACTAGATAGACTCCACAATATCTTAGCAGTTGTCGATGAGATCATGGCTCCGGTTCAAGTCTAATTCTTCAGGGAGATGGCTTCAACGACAGGTTAACGATGTCCACTCAAAACAGGCCAAACACGAGAATTACCGCCTGCGAGCGGCGTATAAGCTCCACGAGCTAGATGATAAGTTCCGCTTATTTACTGGCAATACTCATGGTGTGGTTGATTTGGGTTTTGCTCCAGGTGCTTGGACACAAGTGGCGTTGGAGCGGCTAAAGAAGAAGCGGGCTACCTCGGCTTCAGTGTTGGGAGTGGACCTTATCACCTGTCAGCCGCCCCAGGGAGCTCATTTTATTACGGGAGATATCCTTAGTCGAACCACTCATCAACAGATTATGGATTTCTTTGGTGATAAGCGAGTTGACGTGGTCATGAGCGATATGATGGCCAATACTCTGGGGATTAAAGATAACGATCATTACGCCAGTATGGACTTGTGTCACGGAGCAATGCTTTTGCTGCTAGCAGTATTAGCTCCTGGAGGCTCTATGGTGATGAAATACTATACGGGAAAGGAAGAACAGGATCTTGTGGCTAAAATGCAGGCGATGTTTGCCAAAGTGTACCGGTTTAAACCACAAGCGTGTCGTAATGAAAGTCGGGAATCGTATATTATTGGCCAACGAAGAAAGCAGGGGGTCGCCGTGGACGATGTCTTCAACTAATACCTAATCCATCAGTTACCGATATATTAACTAGCCTGGTACTGTCCTTGAAGGAATTGATTCCTATCAAACTATTCCATGGACTGACTGAATTCTTGTAAATAAAGAAGGAATACAATGAAATAGATGCATGCTCCATTTTGTTGCTTGCTAAGCTCACACATATGGTTGTACTCCTCTGGTCATACAAATATATCATCTTTCATCAATATCAGCAAATTCAAGGTTCGAGTCGAGTATCAAATAAATAGAAACACTTTTGTATTCTGATTTGTGATGGATGTTTAATGATTAACATCTGCAATTGCAAAATGTTAGTTTCGACTAGTTTCTCATTATAAGTTAGTCGTCTCGCTCACTATGTACAAGCGACATCCGGCGCTCACCAACCCTGGACGGTGGGTCAGGGGACCGAAGAAGCATCATCCAGATACCTATATCACTCCTCCTTATGACATTGTTAATAATCCATTTGCTCAGGTGCTCCAGGAGACGAGGTCTGACTGTGCTGGCGGTCGCCTCCCCATCGGAGTGATGACGAGACTTACGGTGGACCCGGGCCCGCCACCAACAATTGTGCCGCTTCTAAGACCTTTACTGCATGCCATATACTACTACCCACTGAGTTATATCCTCAGTAACCGTCAGTTCGTTGGAAGTAAGCAAAAACGTGGTGGTCAATTTGTCCCCCGAAAATGGACTCATCATAACGCCAGTGTCATGAGTAAGATGAAGAATATCCAGTTCTGTGATGATATCATTGATAAAATTGACCGGTTTAAGTTTGAGGAGATGTTAAAGGTGTTGGAGCAGGACTCTAACGAAGAAGGGGGATCGAAGGTTACGGTGACCGATTCGGGACCGTTAATCGAGTATGATGGTAACGGAGAGGCTACCATTAATTTAAAGGAAGTTTATCCTGAATATTCTGGAGTGCAGAAGATTCCATTAGCCGCTAGTGGTCCTATTTTTGCCTACCTCAACTGGCTCCAACCAATGAAGCCAACTAAGGGATAATTTGAATCATCAAGACAAAGATATAAGGCAATCGTTCAAGACTAACTGATGAATAAATTCGAACGGGTATTGCTGATGGTTTGATGATGTGTTTTCAGTATCGAGTGTTAAGGACTAATGAGTGCACCGGCTACATCCTCCACACCCTGAATAGTGGATCAAGTGATCCTCCAATCAATGATCTCAACCAAGTGATAATTCAATGTGGCATTGTAATATTTTTCATTGAAGCGCTCAATATCAAACAATACAGTTTATGTCAAAGTGCAATAACCAAAGTTTAATTCAATCATGACTTTATTTCGTAAATACAAACTATATAATCACCACTTCCCGCAATTACAAGAACCACGCCACCATGGCGGCGACGACGGCGGCGACCTTACTGCCCAGCACGTCAAGCGAAGCGGCAGCGCCCTTCTTCGTCGACTGGTCCTTGCCGGGGGCCTGGCTCAAGTCGCTGGTAGCAACCTTACCCGAGTCCTTAACCCACTTGTTGACGTCGGCGGCCTTAATGGTGTCGTTGAAGGTGATCTTGTCGTGCATGAAAACCACGGCGTTGCTCTTCTCGTCGAAGTAGACACCACCAAGCATTCTCCCCGACGTCTTCCGGTCGATGTAGCCGTCAATGACACGGCCAGATTCAATATCGTCGGTTTGCTGGTAGTCGTGGATGGTGGAGACCAACTTACCCGAGTCGGTGGAGTTCATCACTTCGAAGATATCGAACTCACCGCAGCCCAGTCTCCAGCACGAGCAGTTGACGTAGGTGGCGTTGGTCTGGTATTGCGAGGTTCTGGGAATCTGAGCGTTAAGCAACCAGATGGCAGGCATGTTGAAATTGGGGACGGAGTCACTGCTGCCGTCGTTGTCAGTGGGCATTTCAAATTCAAACAAGAACATCTTGATAGCATTGCTAAACCCGTGGTAGGCGGGGATGCCCTTTCTGTAGACGCCACAGTCGCCATCGACCCCCAGGTCACCACACTTAGTCAGCGAGAAGATGACGTATTCCTGGTTCAGTTTAATCAAAGTGTTTTGGCCCAACACGGTAGGTTCATCGGCTTTAGAAATACCATCGGAACCAGCATAAGTCAACGCCTTACCGAGACATTTGGAGTCCTTACCGGCGGTAGTCAAGAAAGTAGCGTTTTTAGCCAGGGTGCCGTCATAGCTCAGCACTTTGGTCCAGTCACTCAGGCTCGAGTCGTCTTTGGCAAAGTTGTCGGAGGTGTAGAAGGCGAAATTGTGTAAGATCAACGGACCACGGAAATGCACCAGGACTTCTCCGTTCAAGGGAGCCAGGGGACCGGAAAACGTCACCGGTTTGCCTGCTTCACACAGACACTGGTCCAGATCGGGGTTGTTAAGAGCGGCCACGGGGGTATAGGAACCGTCAAAACCAAAGTTCTCAAATTGGAGCACCAGCAACGAGTTGGCGGCGTAGGCGGCGGCGGCACAGGCCAACACCGAGAGCTTCATCATGTTTCGGAAAAGGTTTCAGAAGGTGTTTCAGAAAAGGTTTCAGAAAGTGTTTCTTAAGAAGACTTTTCGAAATTGGGGAGGGGATAAACGCGGGTATGGAGGCGGTGCTAGGGTAGACTTTTCGGCCGAGAGCCCGGGTACGGTTTTCTCCTGCAGGCAGTCTCGAAACAAAACCACTCGACTTTTTGGTAAATTTTCATAACCTGCGCGAATATCACAAAACGTCTGTTTTTAGAATAACAAGGGGGGCTGAGACACGGGGGGTACCAAGCGACGCCGACGCCGACACGAACACAGAAACATCAGACTGGCGCCAGTCATAGTTAGACGTTAGTTTTGCGTGTTGACGATGCCTAGCGGCATCGTCAGGGGGAGTTGTAGGTCCGAGGCTATATTTGGTAGTGGCTCGATTGGGCTAAGTTACCAACAGTTGCCCCCTGCAGCGTGACGTCACTGCGGGCCGGACTCGCCGCGAGCGCGAGTCCACTCGGCACTGCCCAGCTGTCTCCCGGCGGGCGCGGAGCCGGCGCTCGCACTCGGCGGCGCTGTCGATGCTGATGGCGCCAGCGCTGCGCCCGCCGCCGCCTGTGCGACCAGGCGCAACTCGCGATTATACGGGACAAGGTAATCATAGTAGAAATTGATGGCAGTCTGCGGTTTCCCCGACATCAGATAAGCGTCAATAAGCTTATACTTAGCAAAGTATTTGATCCCGTCACTAACTTCTTTGGGGGAGTCGACAATCTCCTTTTGAGGGATCTGTTTTGTGGCGTCGATATACTTTGGCAGCAAATCGATACAGTAATCAGTACCAAAACCAAGGACGTAGCTCATAGCTTTGCCCCAGTTTTGCCAATATAACAGTGGTTGGTCCCACGCTGCTTCACAAGGGTCTAAATGAACCCAGCGCCGCAAGTGGTCGCTGTAATACTCGCACCACACATGGTCCTCTTGGTTCCACACATAGCGGACCTTCAGCGGGTCGTCAAGAAGCGCAACCAAGATGAGGACAAAGCAGTCGACCCACTCGCCACAGCGACCTCGTCTCGTTTTAAGTAAGGAGATAGGGTTGCGGATACGAGGGAACTCCACATCGATTTGGCAATGTTGACATTTATAGGTTTCGATGGCGCCGATTTCGTCCGGGTTGGGCGCGTTTGCGGGGAAAGGGCGCCCTCCCGTCGCCACCATATTGTCGCCCTCGCCGTGGCACTGGGGGCACGGCGGCTTATTCACCCAGGTGAAGAAATGGTTTTTGAAATAGTCGAGCAATTCCAACACCACCAAATCGGTATACCCGAGTTTATTGTCGTTATTCAGTGATTCTCGGGCGTCGACGCCGGCGTAGATGGCGCCCAAGTCGATGGCGTCGAGCGCCCGCTCGCGCCCGGCGCTGGCACTGTACTTGTCCATCGTTCTCGATAGCGAGGCCACCACGCGGAGAAATCGCTGAGTACGAGGTCCCGTGGCCTTCAACGGTTGGCTCATCACTTCCTGGGCGTGGCTGAGCCACTGGGAAGCGTAGAGCGTCTGTAATTGGCGGGCATACTCGTCCATTAGATGGTGGTATCTAAGTGAGGGCGCCGCGGTGGGGCGCGAAAAGCGGGGCGCCCGTCGCTCTGCGACGCCGCCATCACGCCACCACCGTTTCACACTCTACAATCAATCATCTGGTCAATAGTGATTAATTAAATACACATCTACAGACAAATCTCTCTTTTTCTTTCTGACTAATGTACAGGGTTGTGTATTATCATGATTAAGCGGATTGAGGCTTGGCGACACCTTGTTGGAAGCCGTTCTTGAATCTTCTCGAGACGTGCTTCAAGTAGGCCATTCTCCCGGTACCGGTGGTTCTCCGTCTCTTGGCCTTGGTGCACCAGTTGTACGATCTGATCTTGGCCGCGGGGTAGCCACACGAAGCGCAGGTCTTCTTTTGGCAGTGGAACGAGCGCTTGCCGCATCTCTTGCACAAAGTGTGAGACTTGTTGTGTCTCTTACCCATAGAAGGAGTACCCTCTAAATCGTTAGTATTGGTCCAAAAGGAAGGAGAAAGTTTGCCCACAGAGTGTATCTCTCTTGGAATGGCCCTACCTCATCGGGGATGGAAGGGACCGGTCATGGGACACATGGAAATGACACTGGGGGGATCAAACAGCGTGGCGGCGACGCTGGGCACTGGATACGTACTACCCATTTTTGATGTCTATAGTATGGAAGAAGAGGTGAGAAAATTCGTAGTGGAAAATTGGCGAGCCGGGCGCGCGTGCGTCGATGACCGCCGTCACGTGAATAGGGCTATAACCCTAGACACACCAAACAGTGCGAGCCCCACACCAGAGCCGCCCATGACCAGGCTGTGACTAACCTATCAATCTAGCATACCGTAAATCACTCTTTTCTACCTACATTATTTGCTGTTACTCCTGTTTTGTGCTATAATCGTCTTCACCCCTTCTTCTCCTTCGCACCCCCTTATCCTTTTTAAGGTTTTTTTTGTTCCGTTCTCATTCTGAAAGATTCCATCACGTGACCTTAGCCACCAAAACCGTCACACAGCAATTACCCACTGCCCTCCTCCCCGCCTCACTGGCCACCGTTAATAGCCCGTCTTAATCATGATTGTTCGTCTATCGTGGTCAAGTGCCCTGTGCTCCAAGGCTGTGATAATGATTATCACAGTGTATTCAGCCTCCTACAACTCTAACCAGAAACTCACATTTAAAACCTTACCAGTTTACCAACCTTTACCTACACAACCATTCAAGGCACCACACGTTTAGTGAGTTTCATCACGCTTAGCTGTGGTCACTGTCGTGGTAGTCGGGGGACGTTCTCTCCTGCACACAGTCATCTCGGAATCTCACAAGTATAGCGCCTCTACCCTCTCCTAACTAACCAACCGTCCCCTACCACAACCCCCCTTGCTGCTTGAATAGTATTGACGATGGACGTGTGCCGCATCTGTCGCGTCGAGGGCTCCGACGCCCAGCCGTTGCTACATCCGTGCAAGTGCCGCGGGCTGATCCGCTACATCCACCAGGAGTGTCTCATGGAGTGGCTCAAACACGCCAATAAGCTGACGGAGAAGTGTGATATCTGTGACACCCCCTACCGCTTCGAAACAATATACGATCCCAATATGCCGCTGACGATTCCCACCCGGCTTTTGGTCGATAAAATCGTTTCCGTCATATCGCTGGGATTGAAGCAGACGCTCTCGCTAACGCTATACGTGGTGGGGCTTACCATCCAAGTACCGTTGTTTTGGATGGCGACGATGCGACTCTATACCTACGCCATTGACGGCCGATTGCCCGGTGCCGGTCCCTCATGGCAGTATGTGGTGTTCGGCGGTATTTACCCGCTGTGGCAACAGCGAGTGCTAGCATTACTTAGCCATAGCCTTGTCCAAGGGCTCGCATGGGTGATTTCCACGATTGCGGTGACGTTTGCCATGTTTATCGAACACGATTGGATCGCGAGAGATGAAGGGTTTTACCGGCTATTAATCAAACGATTGGGCAAAGAACTGCGCCAACTGTTGATGGAGACTGTGCTTGAAAAGATCCAGGGCGCCGTCGCCGCGGGACCGGAGCGGGAACCGCCCGAACAGCGTATCGCCCGTATGGCCGATATGTTGAACAACTTCGATAACGCCGTGGGCGATAATGGTTTCCAACAAGAACTCAGACAATTCATGCAGGACCACCACTGGGACGATGCCCCCGGTGGCGAAAACATCAATAACCGCTTTAATGACGATATGGACATTGACCACGACGCCAGCGATAATGACGCCGATGACGATGACAATGATGACGACGACAATGACGTCATGGCTAACGCCGCCGCCGCCGCTGCTGGTGCCGAAATTGGAGGAGATTTGGCCGGTTTACCATTGGATGATGACGATATTGTCCCCCCCAACGGCGTAGCGGAATTCCTCCAACTTTTCGGACTTACCCTCGACTATACCGCCCCCTTAGTAGTGTTGGCCATCTGCGACATCGTCATTTTCTTGAACCTTTTGTTGTTATACTTGGCACCTCACTTAATTGGGAATGTGGTGGCTAAAGTATTTCAAGTGATTTTGGGGCAAATCATCCCCAGATTACCACAAATCCTGTTATCGTGGGTACCCCAATTGACTTGGAAATGGAATAGTGCTACCGGCTTAACCATCAAGCAGTGTATCACTCAATTCTACCAATTTATCCTCCATCAATTTGTCCAACCAATTAAGGCTATAATAATTGGGTCTGATCAACCGCCACTGGTAGTGCAACGAGTATTAGTGGTAGGACTCGGCTATGCCCTCGTCTTTGTGGTGGTGGCTCGGCTTATGGACGGTTTAATCAGGGGTAAAAAACCTGTTAGAGGCACTGCCCGCAAGGTCTACCTGGTCTATTTCGAGGTGATGATCACTATCAAAGTTTTCCTCGTGTTTGCCATGGAAATCTTTGTGTTTGCCGTCTACTGTGGCTTCCTTTTGGATGTATGTGCCGCCCCTCTTTTCCTTAAGGAAGTGTGGAACCCTGACACCTACGGTATGCGTATGCTCGCTACCATGGGCGCTTGGCGCATCGGCAAACACCCGATTTCGAGAGTGGCGATGTACTGGTTCTTTGGGACACTGTACATGTTGTTCTTTGCCCATTTCGTCGGTATGACCCGCAACCACATCTTACGTCCTGGTACTCTCTATTTCTTGAGACTGCCTGATGACCCTAACGTGCGGCTCATCCACGACGTCATTAAGCGTCCTTTCTGGTTCCAGGTGCTGAGAGTATGGCTTTCCATCAAGTACTATCTGGTGTTCATTATTGCCGGTATTGGCGGCGTCACCTGGGGTCTCCGTTACTTGCTTTACACTCCTGGTAAACCGCAAGTGATTTTGCCCACTAACCTGATTGGTTTCATCACTGCGGTGCTGGCCATTCTCTTAGGGTTTGTCCTCCTGCTGCCGGAGTTCCACTCATGTTTTCACCGCTGGCACTTGTGGTACTGGCGCCAGGCGTTTGCCCTTGGCTGCCACCGGTTACGCCTTAGCCACTATATCCTTGGTAAGCCCGTGGCGGCCGAGAGAGGCCGTGTCGTCTACCGCAACGCATGGGCTCAAATCAGCGATGCTCGTCCTGATTATAGTGACCCTGTCACATATGGCGAATCCCAACGTCGTTTCAGCGCTGACCCTAGTTTACAAGCATGCTTTGTCCCCGACGGTACCTATTTGCGGGTACCCGCAAACGACGCTGTACTGAGACGGTTCCTTAAGAAATTGTTCTGTGACGTTACTAAGGACGATAAGCTCTTAGGACCAGCTCAACCGGCTAATATTGGCGTGCTTGAGAGCGGGGCTGACTACTGGACCACTGAGGACGAAACTACCGAAGCGGTAAACAACTACGATGTGGTCTACTGTCCTCCTAACCTCAAATTGCGGTGGATGGGTCTCTTGGGTATCCTCTGGATGTTCTGCTGCGTGCTTGTAATCCTGATTACCTTCACCGCATTACTCGTTGGCCGTCCGTTTGTCCATCTCGCCACCGTGGTATTCTTCCTGTGGCTGCCGTCTCAGCCAGATTGGCGTCTTGCCGACTGGGGTTCTCTCGTGTGTGGTCTCTGGATCCTCGCTACCGTACTTAGACGCTACGACGACCACGTACAACGCCAACAATTACGCCAACAAAGAGGAGAAGAAGACAATGGCGAAGAAGGAGTTAATAACGGAGCTAACGAAGTCGCCCAAGAAGCGCGAGCCATTGAGGTGGAGAATATGGTCAACGTCGCCATCCTCGTCGCCGTGGGCATTTTGGCCCTGTTCGCGTGGGTGGTGTGGGTGTTGTCCGCCCACTTGCTCTGCGTCGACCACCCGTTGCTCATGGCGCTGGCGCCAGGGACATCGGTGATCCTGCTGTACTCGCAGTTGATGGAGCAGCTGGAGCGGGTGGGGCTCAAGATGGTGGCGATCACGCCCTTGCTGGTGCTAATTCACGTGATGTTGATGCCATTCACCATCATCCCCTTCATTAAAGTGCTCGCTCGGCTCCACGAGGTGGTGGGGTTAATCAACCGCCCCGGCCCCGTGTGGCGCCGCGCCGTCGACATCACCCGCCTCAACGTGGTCGCGCTCAACATTGCCATGGTGCACGTCCCCGCCGTGCTTTTGCTGATGGTGCTCGTGGCCACGGGCCAGTTCTCAACGCTGGTGTACGTGTGGCTGGGCAGTCTTGCCATCTTCATGATGACGAAGCTTTCCATCAAGTTGATGAGATTCTACGCTCTGGTCGACCGCCTGGTGCGTAACGAGAAGTACGTTAGGGGACGGGCGATCCAAAATGTCGATTGAGCGGTATATTCGGGGTATGCCGACACTCGCCCCCCAATTACTCATGACCGGGGTTTGGCGTGTTTACGAAGATAAGCCGTGACTAATGGTCCTAATTGATGTGAAATGACCCATTGTTGTCAGGCTTCACTTTACTCAGCGGAAGGCGGCATAATCGACTTCATTATCCCCGAGGCCATTTTCGGGGAGCAAATATACCTGTGGTGCGGCTGCAACGTACTATGCCGCCGATGCGCATCACCCCCTGCGAGTGGCCGCCTCACCCCGCTGCGAGTGAAATCCCCGTTCCACCCCTACTCCACGCAGATCCCTCAGGGCCCGAGAAAAAACCCTCCACAGTATGTATATAATTATCAATACTAAGCGAATATGCCAAGGAACAATTCCGCAAATCCCGCCGAACAAGCGAATAACCACATGGCATAATGCGACCGTTTACGGCATTGTCTGGACCCTGACTGCCTCATATTTTGCTTCCTCGAAAGCGTGTCGTTTGCGGCAGCCTCCATTCCCGACTAGTGGGGGTTAGGGCCTCGTATCGTCGTTGACGACGAGAGCTACCAACGACTTAAGTGTTTGTAAACAATCGGTTTTAGACTAGAAAGAGGGCAGTCGTAGACGATGGGGAATGTAGACGGATTTAGATAGTCATACCAGACTATAAGCAGTGTGGAGTCGTAACTCTATAGGTTGAGTACGAAGTTGCGATATAAGGTTCGACGATCGACCGCTGATGGGAACACGAAGATGCCACAATAGCCTCGGTAATCGCTCAGGGGCCCACGAGACACGGTTAGGCACCGAAGCCTCGTCGAAGGACGACGCGTTGCTACGCCACGCCCGGATGAAATTCGCCGGGGGTGATGACGCCTCGTCGCTTCTGCACGCCTTACACTCCCAATCTGTCACCCCCAAACGAAAAATAAAAGCCCTCGAAAGACAGGCTAAGTAAGACCAACACCAACAAAGTAAGGTTTATTGTGTCCCTAGTAGTATACGCTTTAGGGACACGGTTCCCCTGTTCGCTTCTGATCCGAATCAGATCAACGGTGAGGTGACATGATTCTAGCGAAGATTGTCGCTTGCCACAAAAAGCACGATTAATTTTTTAGCCGCCAGGTATTTACCAATACACTGAAAAAATAATGACTCGTTAGCAGACGGGAGCCACACACCATATAAAGCCGTAAAACCCTCAATTCCACATCTCCTCAACTCCAATTGTGTGCCATGAGATTCCATTCGCTTATTATGGCCGCCATGGCCTCAGTGGCCGCGGCTAAGGAAGTTACTGGTGTGTTCACTGATATCACCTCTGTGGTGCCTCAGGACCCGAAGCAGCGTCCCTCAGCGCTTTGGACTACGACCTTGGACTGGAAGATCGACGGCTCGCAAGTGTCTCCCGGTGACACCTTCCATTTGACCATCCCGGGCATTTTCGAATTCGCTGCTAAGTCTTTGGACTTGAGAGTAGGCAAGGATGTCTACGCTCAGTGTACTTTGAGCGGCGGTACATCTACTGACGGCACCTTAGCCTGTACTGCTACCGATAAGGTCACTCCCAAAACTGATATTTACGGGCAAGCGTGGTTCCAAGTGTTCCTCTGCCAAGGTTTCGCTTTTGATGCTGGCGACTTAAAGTGTCTGAGCTACTGGAAAGGTGGTGAAAACACCTGGACTTTCAATGATGGTGCCAACGACTACTCGTACAAGTTTGAGCTCACCGCTTACTACGACGGCGACAAGGGCCAGGGTAAGCGTGGTATTCTCAACATCGTCCGTACCGGTGTGTGCAGTGCTGGCTACGACGCTGCTTCGATTCAAGCGGAAATCGGTGACGGTCTTGTCGATTGCTCCACGGTCAAAGTGACCTTCTCCAAGGGTGTCAACGACTGGAACGCTCCCGTGACCAACGAAGGCAGCAGCATCAGCCCTTACCAAGTGCTGTGCCAAAACGGCCATGTGGAGGTGACTTTGGGTGACATCCCTGCTGGCTACACTCCTTACCTCACTTTCAACGACGACGGCACCGGCAAGAACTTCACTTACGGCGACACTTTCAAGTGCAAGGACTCTACTGAGACCAAGACGGAAACGTGGCTGAGATACTACCCTGGTACCGACATTTCCGGCACTGCTGACGCCGACGGGTACGCCATTGAGCGCACCACCACCGGCTGGACCGGTTCGATCATTCTGACCACCACCGAGCCGTACCCTACCTCGAGTGGTGTCACCAAGACCATCGTGGTGTTGACTCCTTTACCCACGTCGTCGTCGCAAGCCCCTACTTCTTCGGAAGAACTGTCGCTGTCGGAACAACCTTCGTCGACCTCTGAATCCTCGTCATCCTCTGAACAACCTCTGTCCACCACCGAAGCGCCGCTGTCTTCTTCGGCTGAACCTCTGTCTTTGTCGTCGCTGATCGTGCTGTCGAACCCATGGGTGAACTCGTCCAGCACTATTGAGTCTACCACTTCTTCCGAAACTCCCATCAAATCCTCTGAGACTAAGGTGCCCTCGCTGACTGAAGAATCAACCACTGAATCGTCTACTGCCGCTGAACCCTCGTCATTGCTGACTGAGGCTAAGCCGTCGCCCTCGCTGACTGAAGCTGAGCCCTCGTCGTCTGCTGAACCTTTTTCGTCTGCTGAACCTTCTTCGTCTGCTGAACCTTCTTCGTCTGCTGAACCTTCTTCGTCTGCTGAACCCTCTACTGCTGAAGAACCTACTCCCTCGGCTGAAATCACTCTGTCAAAGGCTCAACCCTCGTCTTCGGCTGAACCGTCGCTGACCTCGGAAGTGGTCGTCCCTCCCGAAATCGTCACCACTAAGACTACCACTACCATCACCAAGGAGTGTCCCGTGTGTGAAGAAAAGACCACCACCGTTGAAGTGCCTTGCGTTGTGGAAACAATCACTAACGAACAAGGACCCGTCACTACCACTAAGGAAGTTGAGAACAAGGTCACCACCACCGTCACTTGCCATGAACAAAAGTGTGAGACTAAGGAAACTACTGTGTGGGTCGTGACCCCGCCCACTAAGGAATCCCCTGAAGAATCACCCGAAGCAAAGCCCACTACTAAAAAGGAGAACCCTCAACCTCAACCCACGGTGACCAAGACTGTCCCCCACCCTCAAGCGGAAGCCTCAGCTGCCACTGAAGGCAAGCCTGAAGCTAACCCTAAGCCTGAAGCTCAGCCTGAGACCAAGCTGGCTCCTGAAGCAGTTAATCCCAAGGAATCCAAGCCGGCGACTCAGCCTGAAGTTCAATCGCAAGCTCATCCTCCCGAAGTTGCTCCTCAACTGCCGGTTCCTAAAGTGATTCCTCAACTGGCTGCTCCTGAAGTGGCTCCTCAACCCAACCAGACGTTAGAGTCGGAACAACGCACCGCTGAGGCCCCTCAATCGCCTCAATCGTCGCTGTTGATCACCATCCCCACTGCTGGTCCGACTGTCGCTGGCGCCACTGTCGCTGCTCCCACTGGCGCTGCTCCTTCTGCTGGTGCCATCCAGTTTGAAGGTGCCGGCTCTATGTTGACGGTGCCGTCAATGATGCTGGCGCTCATGTTGGTGGTGTTATTCGTCTGAGTGTATTTTATACCTATTTATGAGAATCTGATAATGTAACTGTTTGAGTAATTGTAGCCTGGATGAAGCTATGCGTTATCATTAAAGCACTATATAATTTTACCAAACTCGCTATCGAGTACAAGGCCGTGGACGTCGTACCATGCATCATTGTCCTCAATAGAAGTGACGATAATCTGCTTCTTGAGATGGTTATCCCAAGCCATCGCCGATGCTTCCAAAAATAACATTTGGAGCGGGAGAGGAACACCCTCAAGGATACGGTCACCAATGATGAACTTTAAATTAGACGTTAACAAGCTAAGCATACGCTCTTCCGTCTCGTTGACTGCGTCAGTAAAAAACCCTCGAGGCACCATGATCCAGGGATCGATGCCAAACTCCTTAAGGCGGCCACGAAAGGTTTCTTCGTTAGTGTCTTCAATTACCCCTCGCTCCGTCGTCATTTGATACTTCTCGGTGCCGTCGGGGGTAAAGTGACGGATAAACTGCCATTCGTACATTACTTTTTCATCAGATTTGGTCCAGCCGACGACCTCAAATAATATCGCCGTGCTCCCCCAGCGAGCCGGGTCGGTGAGAACGTGTTCGGGCTTGTACATGGCCAATGCCAACTTAAGCCCTTCAATAAAACGACTCTCATTTGGTACAACAATCAAGGTACACTCCCTATCGAAACCAAGAATCTTGTCGTCATAGCCAATCACGTTGATGAAGTGAACATCCAGAATCTTCAGCTCATTGACTTCATCTTTGACTGGGGGCCATTCATTTTCTTCGGCCTCACGAAGATCCCTTGCGGGGTCCATGTCAGCTTAGGCTGATCAGGAAAAGTGGGTGGCGTCTCTACTTTTATACAACGGATATTGGTGACGTTTCACCCTTGAAGTTTAATGGTCGCCCCTCATTAGCTGCAATCTGCTCAACTTACCGTGAATGGCAGCCAGTGCATGGAAATGTCAGAGTCAAACAAAAGGTTATTGGGCACGCCTTGAGGATATTGTGTAAGAGGAAATCGCTTGACAAATTTTGATAATGACAGAGAGAATACGTCTATTGGTATTCAGTGCTTACTCTTCTTCTTCTTGTTCTTCTTCTTCTTCTTTTTCGCCGTCTTGTTCGCGGGCTGGTCCAGCAGCAGCACGGGGTCGGGCAGCGGCGACGCCGATGGCGATGAGGTTTCGTGGTCAGCCGTCAGCGGCGGGGTGGCGTCTTTAGCCTTTGCCGCCAGAGACTGCTTGGCTTCTTCGTCATCATTACCTTTAGAGGCGTTGTCATCTTTAGGCGGTACCAAAGGCTCGGTGGTGGAAATGGTCACTTCGCCTTCACCGACCTCGGTAACTTCAGTGACTTCGGTGACTTCCGCCACCTCGATATCTTCATCGGGTTCCAGAATCACCGGTTCCGCTTCGGCCACGGTACCGTCGTCGGTAGTCTCCTCGATCCCCGGCTGGCCACTAGGTTCTTCCACTTCAGGTTCGACGTCAACATTGGGGATTTCCGGCTCTTCCACTTCAGGTTGGGCACTAGCCACCGTCCCCCGGTCCACTTCCTCGACGCGGTCCTCCAAGTCGTTAGTCTCCTCGTCGTTCCCCGCTTCGCCATTCTCGTTTTCATCGATGGTCTCCACGTCGTTGCCGAGGGTGGTGGCGTTGGTGGAGGCATCAGTAGTGGCGGGGGCGAGGCTTCTGATGCTGGCAGTCGTCGAAGCGCCATCGTCTTGCGCTGGCTTCGAGTTCACTGGTTGAGGGGTGCTGTTACCCGTTTCCGCCTCGTAGAGACGTTCGCGTAAATCCATCACTTCCTCAGGGTCGTGAGTGATTCTCGTAGTCAGGGTCTTCTCATTCAGACACCCTTCGGCAACGGTGCTGGTACGGCCAAAGAAGTCGAGCTCGCTGGTAGGGTATCTCGGTGGCAATTCCTCACCTTTGTCTAGAAGCTTGTCGCCATTCTCGTCGAGAGAGTAGCGAGGCAACGCCGCTGCCCCTCGTTCGCCACTGAGCTTGCGGCTATCAGTAGTACTGATAAACCCATACTTTCTCACGTTGGCTTCAATCCACACAAACCCCATTTGGCCAATGTTCACCTGGAAAGTAGCATCGCACGAGAAACAACCAATGGCAGGGTACAAGTCGAGCCAACACCCTTTCATCACGTCCAACACTTTGCGGCCGTTGCGGGTGATGAAGATGGTGCCCAGACTGACGGTGTACCCGAAACCAACGACATCGGCCCGGTTTAATGGCGGGAGCACAAGATTATTATACTGGGAGTTATCCCCCTGGTGCTGTTGTAAAGGAGTAGGGAACGGCTTATTAATCTTGAGATTACCTGTGCTTTCGTAGGCAATCAGGAATTTCTGGTATCCCGGAAGGCGGAACTTAGGGTAGGGTTTAGTGACTAAACCGATGGAGAAGTGCGATACGGGACTATCGCTGATTTCCATGATTTTCGCTTCAAAATAGACGGTATCGGCATACACACGGTGTCTAAGCGGCATGGCGAGGTTCATCACCGCAGTAGCAGTGCGGTAGGGCTGGCCACAGCGGAATACGACCTCGGTCTTGTCGCGGACAACATACCCCGGATCCCGTACGGTATCGGCATCGGCGAGTAATGGTGTTGATTCTGAAGCATTGGTAGAGCGGGATTCTTCGAGATCGGGCTCAAACCACCACGCGTGGACCCCCATGTCCCGCACGAGGATATCGTCTTCCGGGCGGAATGATTTGCCCCTGATAAGGGAGAAATCAGGAGGATTGGTCACCGTGAACTCCTGACCTGCCAAGTAGCTCAGCTGTTCTTCGGGCAGGAGGCTGGTGAAGTCGAACTCCTCCGCCAATTGGCGTAAGCTCTCCTCGTCGTTGAGGTAGTCTCTCGGAACGGCGCGGCCGCCGTCGATGAGCGGCTCGTAGTCGCCGTCATCCTCAGTGCACACCACATACAACAAGAAGGCGATGATGAGGATTAAAGCCCCGACGACAATCCCGATGAACCAGATCCACGCCAGGTCCATACTTGCTCACTGTGGTGGATATATAGTAAGCCCGCACCGCGAACAAAGAGGGGAGACAAGACGGGACCACCACTAGCTATGACAAGAGAGAAAAGAGAATAGAAAGGCTGGGAGATGAGATCGATTAGCTAATCGGGGGAGTATCTGATCACGAATACACAGTGTGCTTGGTCAATTTTTTTTTTCGGTCTAGACCACTGCCGTAGACCTTATAGCTTTTTGTGTTCTTAAATTTATCATATAAGGTTTACCGCTAAGTGGGGTGATGTTTAGGGGGCAGCTTAGAAATTGTAGTGTGTGTAAGCGCGGTTATTTCGGATGGTAGCGCCGTGAGACCGCGAGCCATGCAGTCACTAGACATCTACCCTAATCGGGGTTAGCCGCCAGCAGTAGTGTGCGTCGCCTCCGACCCCAGACGTCAAAGGCTGAATTGGGGAGCAAGCGTCGACGCGCCCCCGGCAGCACCCTCCGAAGCCGCGCGCACTCATGGCACACCATGATAAGAACAACGACCGTATCCAAATACCAATTGAAGCGTAAAAACTATGAATAACTATTCATACAATTGATCGTTATTGGCCTTGATTGTCTGATACTTCAATTACTCTCCAATTGCCCTTTAGCTGCTCATACTGTGCTCCTCAGTACTCGCTGACTCGGGTCCTTATCGTACATAACCGTTCACCAGCAGACAGTAGCTACCAACAGCCAATTGCGCTCGATTGCGTCCTTTTTTTGGCCACCCAATAACCATTGTTTCCACCAATTCCACCTTTAAACTCTCAATTTACTTTTATTATTGCCAAGGCGTGATTATAATTGGTATTGGCTTAGTTGTGGTGTCAGGGCACGTTTTCCAAGGGCTGCCTGGAAAATTAGCTGTCGTGGCTATCTGCAGGACTTACTGACCCCCCCCCTCCCCAGACTATATATAATAGCCGCTGCCGCCAGGGGCCCCACAAAAGCAACCGTACATGTTTGGGCTCACCAATAACGTCACCCTCGACCAGCGGAAGCGCCAGATGGCCCTCGCCGGCGCCACCGTGCTCGTGGTGGTGGCTTTGCTTGTGCTCACTCCCCTCTACCAGTGGATAAAGATTGCCGCCACTCCCCTCGACCAGCCCGACCGCTGTGTCATTTACCCCAAAATTGCTCCCAAGCACTCCGCCAAGGATAACGCCACCGTCGAGGGCATTTTGCACGATGCCCTGTTCCGCAAACACGCCGTCCGCAAGCTTTCGGGAGCAGTGCAAGTTGACACCCAAATTGGCGACCAATTGCCACCCGTTGACGACAAGAAGTACTGGGGCAAGTTCAAGGACTTCCACAAGTACTTGGAACAGGCGTTCCCCGCCGTGTACCTGGCGTTGCTGGTGGATACTGTCAACACTTATGGTTTACTCTACACCTGGCCTGGCTCCGATAAATCGCTTAAACCAGTGTTATTAATGGCTCACCAGGACGTGGTACCCGTCCAGCAAGCGACGTTGGATCAATGGAAGTACCCTCCCTTCAGTGGCCACTACGACGGTGAGTTTATCTACGGTAGAGGCACTTTGGACTGTAAGGGACAAGTGATTGCGATTTTGCAATCGTTGAGCATTCTCATCGAACGGGGCTACAAGCCTAAGCGTACCATCTTAGTTTCCTTTGGTTTTGATGAGGAATCGCTGGGCTACCACGGTGCGGCTTACTTGGCTAAGGAGATTGAACGCAGATACGGTAAGGACTCCCTTTTTGCGATTATTGACGAAGGGTCTGCCATCCTCAACGACCCCTTAAGTGGTCAAATTGTTGCTGCTCCCGCTACCGGTGAAAAGGGCTACGTCGACATCCACACCAGTCTTTTCACCAAAGGTGGCCACGCCCTGATCCCCCCTCCCCATACGCTGATTGGCATCATGGCCGAGCTTGAAGTCGCCATCGAAAAGGACCCCTACGAACCCATTCTCACTGACGCTAACCCGTTCTTGCACCAGCTTGAGTGTGCGGCTGTCCACGGCACCCACTTGAGCAGAACCGAGAGAAAGACGATCTTGAGAGCTGCCTTTGACAAGTACGCCAACGATAAGGTGATCAAGTCGTTGCACGGTACTCCCGGCCAGTACTTGGTGCAAACTTCGCAAGCTTTGGACATCATCAAGGGCGGGGAAAAGGCTAACGCTTTACCCGAACACACTAAGCTTGTCACCAACCACAGAGTTGCCATTGGCCAATCGGTGAAGGAAGTCACCCACCACTTCGTCAAGAGAGTGGTGGAAGTGGCTAAGCGCCACGACTTGGAGGTCCACGCCTACGGCAAGCAAGTGCTTAAGGGCTCGAAGGGGGTGTTCAACATTACCACCCTGGGCGCTCTCCCCGCCGCTCCCAAGTCTCCCACCAACAACACCCTGTGGAAGGTATTGGCCGGTGTCAACCGTCACGTGCTCGAGGATTTTGGCGTGTTCCCTAAGATCGACTACAAGGTGATGACTGTCCCTTCGATCATGACGGGTAACACCGACACTCGCCACTACTGGAACTTGACCAAGAACATCTACCGGTTCTCGCCGTTGGTGATGCACCCGGACACCTTTTCGCGGATCCACTCCGTCGACGAGCGGGTCAAGGTCGACGACCACTTGTTGATGATCGCCTGGTTCCACGAGTACCTCTCGGTGGTCACCGACAACTTCAAGATCGACGAATAGGTCTCCGAATAGGTCTCCGATATAGTAATATGACGATATGAAGCAGGACGTCTAGTAATTGACACATTCAAATCCATTATCTTGTTTCATTCGAGGTCAAAAAGGAGCGATATGTGTTCGTATCGTCCATTCACCTACATTCTTTGAAGAGAAACATGTATTTTTGACGGGCCGGCCGGTAACCCAGTCAAAATAAAAGATATCACTAATTAAGAACCGCTTAAGCAGTGCCCAAGATCGACATGGCACAACCCCAGATGGCAGCAGCAATGGCACCCACGGGACCCAAGGGGTTGTTCAACTTAGATTGACCTTGTTCCTCTTCAACCACGGTGGTGGAGCTACCGCCTTGTTGGCTGCCACCAGCTTGGCCGCCTTGGATAGCACCGCCTTGTTGACAAGAGCCATCTTGACAGGCCATGGGAGCAGCGACAGCCAACGAGGCGATGGCGAGAGTGGTAACAGTCTTGAATTGCATTTGGGAAAAGGAAAAGCGAGTGTGAGTTGATGAAGATTTGGTGGTGGGAATTGAGGCCGAATTTATAGTCGATTCTGTAGCACCGCCCTCGTGTTCGATGGCGTGGTGTTGACGATTTTTGCAGCCAGCACCGTGTACACCTGAGCTAAAATAGGCTCGGCAACTGGCTGTTTTGGCGGCGCCGTCAGTGGGAGTACGCCTCGTTCCTCGCGTTTTTGTGATTTACAAAAATAGACAGTTAGAGGGCGTTGGCGATTCAAACCGAGGTCTAAGCCCTAAATTAGTAGAATTTTCGGACATAGCCTTGCTGTCCTCATTGAGTTTGTCAATTTCCAATTTCTGTTTTACCCGTACATGGCGTTATTCGTCTATTTCTTCACTTGCCATACTTCGCACCTTTCAATAAAGTCGTATATGTTCTCTAAGCCCTGGACACGATCGTATCTTTCAGATAAGATTGTCGGTGGGATGATGGTTTGTTCTATTTGCGAATGTGCTACAGATAACACGAGTTTGTAGGTGGTGTATATTAGGTATATAGCATTTAGGCGGTACCCAAGATCGACATGGCGCAACCCCAGATGGCAGCAGCAATGGCACCCACGGGACCCAAGGGGTTGTTCAACTTAGATTGACCTTGTTCCTCTTCAACAATGGTGGTGGAGCTACCGCCTTGTTGGCTGCCGCCACCTTGGCCACCCTGGATGACACCGCCTTCCTGGCACGAGCCGTCTTGGCAGGCCATGGGCGAAGCGATGGCCAACGAGGCGATAGCGAGAGTGGTAAGAGTCTTGTATTGCATTGTAAAGCGAATGTGTGTTGATGAGAAGGTGTAAGAGGAAGATACGGTCATATTTATGCCCTTGCCAAGACCAAAACCGAGACGTTTCAGCGGTTCAGCCTGGTGAAAAACTTCTTGGCTGGTTCCCATTCTGATGGAGCCGTTTACCCAGTCTAGATAGATTTGTTTTCGTTGGCAACCGACCGCAGTGCATGAGTATCGCCTCGTCCCTGAGTTCCTGCTTAAACGCGACAACGGCGTATGCGTAAACAAACGCGGAAATAACCCAATTGGGATTCGTAAAATTGTAAGTTGTAGGCTGATCCGTCCATTGGGCTAGATGGACTCCTCCAAGAAGCAGTTGAAATTGACCATTCACTGTTAGTTCTCTCACTACTGTCCTCCACCCTCAAACAAATCTATTACTCTGAACGAGAGGTAGTTTACTCCCAAAACGTGGGCGTGGCGGCTAAACACATACACGACGTAGATCTCGAATTGAGATTGATTGCGCCCAATTTGCACGAGAGGACACCAATGCATGGAAACAGCTGGCGTCAGCCACACCACGATGTTCTTATCAGTATCATCACATCTCAAAGAATCTCGCTACTCGGACCAAACATCGCTGATTAGGCATTGAGGAATTATGGGTGTTACGATTTTCCTTGATGTAGGCAGTTTGTACGTTGATTGGTTCAGTAGCTCTCGATTATGAGGCGTAGCGTTACCGCTAATTCGTCTGTGACGTCCCTGAACACCCATATTTCTCTTACATTCAGTGCAGCAAAACAGTGCACGTGTCACCTATATCGATCGTATTCAGCCTAACGCAAGGTACCATCAAACCAGCACTAATTCGTACATAGCTTAGCGCCAGCGAATTCAGGTTCTAATCGGTGGAATCATTCATCTACCTTCAGGGTAGTTTCGTAAAACTTTAATGGTCAACTTCGAGATGAACTCTCAGGTCAAGGCGTGTTGATGATCTTTCCCACGAAAACAAATCTGATGTTATTCCGAACCGAGATTATCATCGCACAAACGCATCAAGCCGTCTCTACTGTCGCCCGAATGCGTAGCCGCGTATACTTGATTCAGTTAAACCTGAAATCAACTGCAAAATACACTTGATTAAGGGATGAAGTTCCAATGAAGGCACTCTCGATTGTAAAAGTCCCTCCGTTCAGGTCATGGATGCTACTTTTACCCTAGCATTTATGGATATTTGTTAGTGGGAGGCGCGCGACGGTACGAACGGTTTAGGAAAAAACTGTTACTGATTAGGAAAGTCACTCCCAAAAAGGTGAAACTGTACAAGATCAAAATTGGCGTCAATTCAACGAATACTTGTAAGCAATCATGATAGCAGAAGGCGTGTGCTTAGGTTTTACTTAACAACAATATGGACACGTTTCAAACGCGAATTGTGGGGTAATTTGGCTCGTGATTTCTTCAGTTCGTTGCATATGACAAGATCATCTACAATTTTTCAGTTGTCATGTTGGTTAGTTATATACGAGGTCATTAATCGTCACTCTACTTCTTGATAGGAGCCGGCTTCTTCCAGTAGTACTGCTTGTGTTTACGACGACAGGCACGCAACCCGCCGTGGCCCTTGATGGTGGCCACGAGCTGTTTCCGTTCTTCGTCATCATCCTTCTCGGGGACATAATAATACTCTTCTTCAAGAGGCTTACCAGCAGCGTCCTTGCCTTCCCGGTAGATGACACCAATGCAATCAGTATTATGTAACACCACCCGGATCTGTGACAAGCTGAGTGTTTGTGTAAGGGCCAGAACGGTATTGAGCACCAGTGCCGGCGTCAGCGATAACCGCAGGAATGCTAAGTGGTTGACCAAGATGTTCTTGATCTCCTTGAGAGACTTACCGTCACTAACTGCGGATTCGACCGGCAGGTCGAGACTGAGTTCAGTCAGATCGGTCTTTTGTTTCTTGCGTTGTGGGAGCTCTTCGGCCGGACGTTTAGTGACGGTGGGCTCGGCGGTAGCCTGTGTTTGCACTTCAACACCTTCTGTAGTCTCATTAGCAGTTGGCGCTGTCAGGGCTGGCTTCGAGGGCTTGTTCGATGGCGATACACCCACGTTTTCCTTGTCCTCAACATCATTAGTTTCTTTAACGGTTTCCTCAATGTTCTCCTTTTCAATAGGCGCTTGTTCAATAGGAGAAGGCACTGAGGTTTCTTGAGCGGAAGCAGCTTCTTGAGTGGAAACGGCTTCTTGAGCGGGAATAGCTTCTTCCTTCTCCGGTTGTTGCGAGGGTTCGGGGGTGGAAAACTCAGATCTCGCATAGGTTGTGGTGATAGGGTCGGGAGAGGTGTCACGAGGAGGCTCAGAAACAGCCTTAGCCACAATAGATTGGCGACGTTCTTCGCGAGCTTCAGGGATTTCCGCAGCGGGTTGAAGTGCCGGCAACACCACCTGGGCTTGAGGCGTGGTGGGTTGAGTGACCTCCTCGTATGTGGTGGTGGTGGGAGTGGCAGGTGGTTCGATCACCAGTTGCTTGTGTTTGGGAATAGCGTAAGGGGCGGGTTTGAGGGTGGTTCTGTGTTGTTCTACCGGGTTCGGGCGAGCCGGTTCGACAACGTCAGTTTCCATTTCTTCCTCGTCCTCAGTTAAGTCTTCTTCGACATCGTCAGGGTTAAGCAACAACACGTGCTTGTTCACTTCACACAAGATGTTGGCGAAGCGAGGGAGAGTGATGGTTTCATGACGGGCAAGAGCAAACTCGGTGTGGTTATCGTCCAAGCGAATCAGCTTGTGCGCCCGCTTCAACTTTTTAGCCAATTGCGGAATCTGACCCGACTTGTTCTCAAGGATAACAAAACTGTTAGGCGTAGGAGTCTTGTAGATCAAGCACGCGCGAGGGATCCGCACCATGAGGCCATTGACCCCAAGACAACGCATAACAATGTGGTGGTGGTTATAGGTAATCAGGAGGTGAGTCCGCAGCACCAGCTTGTCGTGCAGTCCGAAATAGAAGTCACACATCTTCAGCAGCCGTCCGACCACAAGATTGTGCTTAGAGGATAAAAGCGGCACTCTCAACACCTCCAGATCAGGGTTAAGGATGTTGAAATCGGAGTTGATCGCCACCGTTTGCGGTTCAATATCATCGTGAGTGGCCACAGGACTCAGGGGAGCGTCTCTCACGGGAGACAGCGACCGGAAAAGCGACGACGACGGGTTGGGCGTCGGGTAGTCGAGGGGGCGGCCCCGGGGCTCCGCCGGCGCCATGATCCCCTTGGGCACGCCCTTCTTTCTCACCACCGTGTCCTCGTCGTCTTGGCTGGCGATTAACGGTGACAGAGGCGGGAACTGGTAGCTCATTGGGGGCACGAGATAGCAATGGAAAGAAGCAGTAGCTAATGAGGGAGGTGCGATAATGGGTGTTGCGGAGCGAGAGGGCCAGTGAGACCCACACGCGTTGGTGTGCACATAGAGACGCGACGGTGTGCACACAGGCTCATTAGGGTCACCACCCCAAAGAACGCGTAGAGACGTGGTTGCCATGGGGGTGGTGACTAAAGTCACGTGGGCCGCGATATCCCGTGACTGTCTATAAGAACTCAGGGGCTAACCTCGATTAACCGGCGAAACGACATCGACGAACAATCACCGCTTAAACTGAATCGTTTGGAGACATGGGTTGTTTAGATCGCCTAGCTCTATTGTAGTAGTTTTTGGTTATAACGCCGTCGTCGTAGATCTCGCTGTATCTTATTAGAGTGATTTGGGAGTGAAAATTATACTACGTAATGAACTCTCTTAGCAAATGACCTGGGCAGTAATCACCAATCGAAACCCCCTAGTAGGGGTGGTCACGGAATTTCTGCCAGCACCCACTAGTTATTGAGCGTCCCCTTTGGGGAGTGTGACTGTGACATTCTCGCTTGAGCACAAGCACAACGGAGTTCCCCATTGTCACTGGAAAAAGACAATCAAGTGGACAGAAAAATGTAGGCCATTGTTTCAAGCAGTTTCTCCTGATGACTAGCAATTGAACAAAGGCAGGAGCGACAGGTCACCGGCGTGTGGCTGGTGGTCACTGCCTTTTCGGTACCACCAGCCAGCCCTGCGAAGGTGAGCACCGCCTTGCGAAGGGGTCAAAGGATGAAAAATTATCGGGGTGTTTGCACAACAAAACGCACTAAGTGTGGGGCTTAATGAACGGCAAACACCCTAGGTTTACCTCTACGGTTTTTCCGCGTTGAATGGGGGAGCCTCTAGGAGTATAGGTCTTCGATGAGATGCGAAACCAGGTACCACCCAGATACGCGCGGTAGTGACCACCAACTACCGTCAGAATGCCACTATTGTTATCGTAGGCCGGTAGCGGAATTTCTGTCACCTGGGGCGATGGCGTCATCAGGCGTTAGGCCTTGCATTTTTGGCACTTATGTTCGGCTTATCGCGAGCAGTGATAGAGATTACATACGTCCGACCCCAAGTGCATAATGTCGCTATATCGTAGAGGGTTGCAATGTAACCACCCCCGGTCGAACCAAGGATAGAACTCTTGCCCCCTAGGTGTACTGATCTAGCTGTTTCATTCCCCAAAGAGTTAACATCGTATTGGATGCACCAACTAAACCATGATACAATGCCCCCGTTGCCACTGAGTGAGCCCCAGGTACGAGTGCGATGTTGGCCAGAGACAATGAGCGCCAAGGACCTGACACACCTACTAACCCATGTGGCCGTGCATGTTAGGTTTTCGTTTGCGGCTACCTTGGCAAGAGAAGGTTCCTGATCATCGTAGTCCATCTTGTGGAAAGCCGACGATCCACGCATCATGGGTTGTTTCCCACCGCAACCTTGTTGCCGCCGTTGTCATCTCCACCCTCGACCTCTAACCCATTTCAGTAGTGGTTGCCTGGTCAACTGGCGGTGAATACGAGACCAGGGAAAAAAAAGGGTGCGGGTGCCACTAACTGCAATGCTGCAAACCCTGGCATCCCTACAGTGCGGTGCGCCCTGTGATGCGCCCTGTACTGCAAGGATAGTTCGTTATTCTTGCCCCCCCCCCCCCCCCAAACNCCCCCGACAAATGACAGTGTCATGTAAACGGAGAATCAGTCGTTGCCAGCTGACGTAGACAATTGTCGCATACTCCCTCAACACACCAGCGACCAGCTCTACCCCAAACTATCAATATTTACCCCTGGCTTTGTCCCCCTACCAGCCCTGAGCCACGTAATCGCGGTCAGGGTCCTTCGCCTGGTTTTATGCGCGCGGAAGCAGAATACGCGCTGGGTGCATGCCAGCCACTGTGCTGCCGCATGGCTGCGAATTCCCAAAGGGGCATGTCCCCAGCGACGTCAGATATAAACTCGGACGTCTATCCCCCTCGTCCCCGAGACTGCTTTTATAGTGTGCTGCCAGATGTACTACGAGCCGACGTTGTTGTTTCGACAGAACGCCATTCGCCGGTTCCACCCCATGCTCCTGCCCATCCAATCGAGTGACGACTTAAAGCGGGGCCCCCGGCTCCCGCAATTCTCCCCCAGAGATACTGAAGTGCTAGACCAAGCCTGTGGGTTGTTACAGACAGATATCCGCCTGTCTTACTGGAAAATCCCCGATGATAACATGCACTTGACGGCAATTGCCTCGGCTCAAGTCGATGAAGCCAATGCCAGACTCGCCATCCTGTCAGGCAGACAACAAGCCAATCTTTTCATCTACGACTTGGACCCTGATAATGCTAGTTTGCGTCACCTGAGCACGATTCTGCTCCCGCTGACGCTGGCCCTCCACTGGGTTGACGTTAAGTCTGGATGGTTAGCTACCGGTAATGACCACGGATATGCTCACTTAGTACTGATCCCTAAAGGTGACGATGCCTCAGCGTATATTGGCAAACGGTTTAACCACCGCAAGTACTTGAAACGTGAGTTCCACACCGCCAAACCGGTGCACCAGCTCCGCCAGTTCGATATTGACAAAACCAAATTGCTCACGGTATACGACCACCACTTGTTCTACTGGGACATCAAGGCCCTGGAGGCCCACGCCAAACCGGCGCCGATCAGTGTTGCCTCCGTGCAAGGGCTTGTGGCCACTGACCCTATGCCTAAAAACGATTGTATCGTGTTGATGGCAGGTCATTTTGGAGTGACTTTACTAGACATTCGGGAGCTGCCTAAATTCCAAGTACCCCAGACCCTGGCGCTCAGACCACACCAGCAGCCAGCACAGACGGTCCGTTGGAACCCCGATAACGCGAACCAGTTTGCTCTGGCTCATCGTGACGACATCATCCGTCTTTATGATATTCGCATGGACGGGTGTGTGGGAAACCTCAAGGGTCATAGGGGTAAACCTCTGCAATTGCTGTGGACTCAGGGTAACCTTTTCTCTGGTGGCGGTGACGGCAACTTAGTCCACTGGGATCTTGTTACTGCGCCAGAACAGTCATTCACCAATTGTACTCTTAAACAAGGGTTGGGCAGTGTTAGCTTCAACCCTCAAACCAATAACGTTGAGGAAACGCTTTCCCAAAGACAGTGTGGCACCGTGCTCCCCGCCAGCAATACCTCTATTGTCGATATGGCACCGGTATCCGATCTCGGGGCTGTGGTCACCATCGACGGCCTGGGCTTTTTCGGTTACCATGCCAAAGTGGCGGCACCTAAACAGTACTACACCGACCACGATCTCGCCTACCTTGAACGGGTTGAGAACCTGGCCCAGACCTTGGTTGAAGAAGAGATTACGGGTGAAGAAATCCTCGACGTGGCCACCGTTAAAGCGAAACAACAACTGGTGCCACGGGGGCTTTCGGAGCTGCTGCAAGAGACGCTCGCCGAGCCGCTGCTGGAGCCGGAACTGGATTCGAGCATCCACCTGCCGTTGCTGCGGGTGTTCTCCAACACCGGGTCGGTGCTGACGGTGAGCTCGGAGGTGGTGGACTGGTCCCACTACTCGGAGCTGCTCACCTGCGCCTAAAGTCACGAAATTCATGGAAAGTAATATGGTATTAATAGATAATGGTAATTGTAAGAGTCTACTCGTTTCAAGTAGGGTTAACCCTCGGTGGTGAAGGGGGACTTTTGTCCTGCCATCGACACAAACCGTTCCACATACAGGTAGACACCCGCAGTTAAACCTCCCAGCACTAACACCTTACACCAGCGAGGCAACAGCCCTTTGTACAACAGTCGCGGCCCTTGCTTGGTGAACAACTTGTAAGCAGTGAAAAGCGAGTCGCGGTATAAGCGCTTACCGTTTTTCAGTTGCATGTGGGTCTTGACCACATCCAACGGTTGAGTAGCTAAGATCACCGCCAGCGTCGCCGTGAAATGAATGGCAAGACTCTGAAGCATCAGGTGGGATCCCGATAACCACGCGTCACTTTTGGCTTGCGGGTCTAAGAGCTGGCGCACGGCACTATAGGTCCAGAACCACACCACCGAGTTACCCACTTGCCTTGTCAACGTGACAAACAGACCCAGGGCGAAACCGGGAAGCCCCTTAGTGGCGTATAATTCCTTGATCGACCCTAAAAACGTATGCGTAGGGCTGTGGTTGTATTGTATCCTGAGAGTATCAGCCGCCGTCAACTGACTGGGCAGGGTAAATTTCGACGGCATTTTGCCCTTGATCTGCTCGATGATACCCGTGGTGTAGTAGGCATTCGGCAGCACGTATTGGCGCGTGAAAATGCTCAGCGGCGGGCGGTGGCCGTGGCTGGTGGTGTCCTTACCAGTAATGTCATAGGTGATGCCGTGTTCTTTACACCGTTTGAGTTCGTTGGCCAACAGCATGTTTTGGATCATCAAGATCTTGATATTCTCAAACGGAATAATCCACAACAGCTCGAAGAACCCGGCAATGGCGCCGGCGACCACCACTCGCAGCAGGGTCGGTTTGAGCTTGTGGGCGCCGGCGTTGTCGTGGTAGACGGTCATAAACTGACACGCCCAGTTGTAGGTGATGATCCGGGTGCTGGTTTTCATCATCAGCCCCACCACCAGCGCCAGACACCCGCGGAAGAGCTGAGCAAGCGAGCTGGGGTAGTTCCCCGGGATGTGCCATTTCTTCATGTAGGCATCGTTGGTGATCTGCTGCTGGGTCTTGATCGAGTCGAAGGGATAGGTGATGGTGGCTGTCGTCGCCGCCAGGAGCACCCCCAGCACGAGGGCGGTGAGAAGGGTGTCACTGCTCATATAGCAATTAGGTCGCGCGCAGCCTCTTTGGTGCAGTGGTCCCCGATAGATAAAATGGGTAGCAAAGCCCATGTGAAAGAAGAGAGAGTGCTTAGACTATAAGGCTTTATAGTTATGGGTAGAGGTTGTCGTGATTCAATGTCACTATTTTTGAATGGATTTTGGATTGGAGTGGCTGGCATGTGAAATCTACTAGCAATGGAAGTGATCTAGGGTGTTTTGGACTATGGGCTAATGATGTAAGATCTTGAATTAGTGCTTATGGGTGATTCGAGGGGAAACGTAGTTTTCTAAGTCACTATTCTGTCAGTATTCCTATGATCTCTTTTAGTTGGCGTCATCGCCAGCGCCTTTGCGTTCATGGTACAACTGCAGCCACTTTTCAATGTCTTCAGCACGATCTGTTGTGACCTTAAAAATATCCAAATCGTACAAGGGACTCACCCTGGGTGGCAGAGCTGGAAGAAGCATTACTCGACAAAAATGACGACAGTCTTTACATTGCAATTGAGCCACAACTTCCAGCTCGGGCGAGTGGTTGCAATTGCCATGTAAAGAAAGCGGCGCCCTGGTTGCTCGACGAAGTGATTTCATACCAGATGATAACTTTTTCGCAATGAACAGAAGGTGCTCAGGTTGCAATGTTTCGAGCTCATCCAGCAGAAATATCAGCATCAACGCCAACATCTGAAGTTTCAATCCATACAAATGGTTGAACTTATCCTCATGTTCCTCCCAAACTTCAAAGAAGATGGGCACAAATTGTTCTTCAGCCATAGATCTGAGGGTGGTGTTGGCATCAGCTATGATTGCCGCAAGTAACACCCGTACTAATAAAAATGCGTCAACGTTGGGCCCACTATTGGAATCGTCGGCAATGTGTACCCGCGATACCAGGAACAAACTATTAAGAAGTTGAGGTAATGAAGCCATTTTGTCGCCGAGTGTCAACACTATCAACTCTAGAAGCTCATAAGCTCCACGAATCGCCTCGCTATTGATGGAGTCATTGTACCGAATCCTATCCAAGCAAACTAGTGTGAGATCTTGGACATGAGATGAGCTCGGAGGTAAGCCAGGAAACCCATGGTAGACTATCTTCCTGAGGAAATGAAGGAAGTGCAACAAGTCCAACTCATTGTTTTTAGTTTTCAACAAGGCATCGACGACTACCCGATACAAATCCCATACATCTGCCAGCGTTTTATCAAGGGAATCAGCAAAACCGTAAATTATGGGAACTAGAGGTTCCGTCGTCAAATAATGAACACTGGTAACAATCTCCACGATTTTCACAAACTGTAACGCTAGTACTTCTTTAACATCATGGCGTATCGGTTTGAGAAATGCAGCTATGTTTGTTACCAACTCCTTTGCCAGGCTAAATGTTCGCGAACCGTTTCCATCACCCCTTAAAACCACATGGCAGACATGCGGCAAGGAGTATACGAGAAAATGACTCGCAATGGAATCCATTGCTCTTGTCAACACCTCAAGTGGGTATTCTTGGGATAGTTTGTAAAGTTGATTGCAAATGTCGACTGCATTTGGTCTCATTAACTCTTCAATAAACCCGAGCTCTCCAAGAAACCCTACGGCATACGCCGCCATAATTCGGACGGTCAACAGAGATTGCTGATTGAAACAATTCATCACCGCTTCAAAAACTTGTTTAGCCAGATCCACGTGTTCAGCGTAGTAGAAGAATGGAACTGACACAACCGAACAGCAAGCACGAGCGGTTAACCATGGGAACAGTTCGNGATCCACGTGTTCAGCGTAGTAGAAGAATGGAACTGACACAACCGAACAGCAAGCACGAGCGGTTAACCATGGGAACAGTTCGATAGTTTCGATGCATAATTCGGGATAAATATATTGCATGAACATCAGAAAGCTTTCCTCGGGAGTGAACATTGAATTAGGAACCATTTGTACCACGATATTAAACATACGCATTGCTCCCTCCGTGTTTCGCGCTATTGGTAGCAGCAACTTATCTTCGACTCGTAGATCAAAGATGTCAGTCATCATGTCGATGATAATATCGATACCACGATCGTAGTGCTCGTCGAGTAGATGACTGATCAATAATTTAGCTGCCAACTCGTCTGCATGTAAAGTAGGGTGTTGACCCAACAGATACGATTTCACTGCTGAAACTGGATTTTCTTTATCACCTGTGAATGATTCCGTGCTAGCACTCATTAAGGGGAACAAAACTTGCTGAATTAAAGTTTCAAGATGTTTGACAAAAAGCGGCCAGCAACCATGCAGCGAGTGCAAGATAGAATCAAAAACCCAATAAAGTGCTTCGTTCAGAAGTTCGATGTCTTTGCCAATCCACCTCTCGACAAAACTCCAAAGATAAATAAATTTATCCTCCTCGTATGCCATTGGTAACCGGCTGAAGCTTCGTAAACACCACGCTATCACTAACATCCAGCTCTTTTGGAGTTTCGTCTCGGTGTAGTTCTTGGTCATGGTGTGAAGTCGTGGATGTTTCATGATTAGCACGTGCCAATGGTGATAGATGTTTAGCTCGTCACCATTCAAAGTCTCGCGAAATTGATCTGTCTTTGTAGTGAGGTCATAGCAAATGGAAAGGATTGTGCGCAAAGCTTCGGTCAGATGTGGCGAGTCCACGGGGACAAGGTACGGTGTAAGCCAATCAAACAACGGAGTTATGCGTTTGATGATGTCGGGTAACATGTTGTCGAGCTGTTTCTCTGAGCCATCAGTTCTAACACAAAGAACTTTCACGTATTCAGAGAGCAAGGTAAGTCCCCAATTGACATCGTCTATGTTTGAGCCATCTCCAATAAATTCAAAAATCGAATCAACCGCTTTCACCCACTTCAAATCGGTATAGGCGATAGTGAGAAAGCTATCAAGTAACGCAGGGCGAATACCCTCCACCTGATAACTTTTGAGGAGTATAGGGAAGAAATCAGTTTGGATATCCCCCCTTTCTCCGACAGGGATGCGCCTCATATCCGACCTCAGCACGAGATAAGATTTGCCCGGATATATATTCTTGTGGCTTGGAATCGAGGAGTTTGATCTAACGCAACGTGTTCGACCTTTGTCGGTCCATAGGAAATATAGACTCTCTGCGAATACCCGGGCGGCAACGATACGAGTAGCATCGTCGATGGTGGAGTCGCCAACGATACGATGTAGATTGAAGGTAAAATGGGAGTCATTGAAGTGGGCCCTCAATTGAGTCACAGCATCTTTGGAGTCGTTTGAAGTTCCACCCACTAGTCGTCGGAGAATGGTCACCAACTCAGTTCTGGCGGCATCCATGGGTGAGCCTTGCATTCATATGAGTGGGGGTTGTTTTGATGGGAAAGTATATAGTGCGAGTCGCACCACCAAAACGAACGCGTCCTCAAGCATAAATAAAGACTACATAGAAATGCTTGTACGCCACAAAGAAAAATACGATACGTTTTGATGAGCCGCGTGCATGGCGAGGCTGCCTTAAGGGAGAAACTTCACACAGCCCCGAGAGTTTTCATTGCAAATTACTAGAAGAAGATATTTGGTGGTGCTATCGATCCATTCATTGAATTAGGACTGTTTCCAATGAGTAAAACGTCAACATGAACAAATACGTATTGTGACGTGACTTTGGGTGCTACGACGGAAATTCAGCCGCATCCATGAGTCGAATTTAAGTTTGAAGTGTACATGAAAATCCACCAAACTCGAGCTTGTTGCAGAGTCGTAGTTGGAGTAAAACTATTGATGTGGCGTTTGGGATAGATATTTATGGTATACGACAAACACATCAACAATGCCTGAGTGAATTTTCTGACTGAAATTGAGATTATTGACTTTCCTAAAGTTTTCGCAAAATTTGACGATTTAACGAACCTCTTGAAGACTGAACCATTTGAGTCAATTGAGACCTCAAAATACAATCAAGGCATGCTAGAAAGCGAGAAACACAAAGGGCAAGTAATGAAAGCTTGTGAATCGTGATATTTGGGAAAACTGAATGAGCGGTTCAACCCATAAAACTCCATGCAGTTCGTTAATTATTTTTTGAAGTTGGGCGTGTAGCGCAGTTGGTAGCGCGCTTCCCTTGCAAGGAAGAGGTCTCTGGTTCGATTCCTGACTCGTCCACATCTTTTTTCAATCCTTCGAATGGTAGCAACTACTGATAAAGTGTCATTTTTTTCACTTACACAATAAGCTTGAAATTACGTTTATTGGATCGTTTCACATTATTGTCGGACAAGTCCCTTTTTGCGAGTAGCTTGTAAAATCTCTTTTGCAAGGCGAGTATCGGCAAAGCGGAAAGATGGGTCTTCAGCCATAAACGGGTGTTTTAACAACTCCAGGGCCGTGGGTCTAAGGTTGGGATCAATGGTAAAACAGGCAGCGATGAACTCGCGGGCTTCTTGAGAGATCTCGATATTACCGGGGATGGGAGGAGCAAGCTTGGTTTTACCAATTTTGTAGATGGCACTGACCACGGCTTCATTCAGCCAAGGGCGGTGGCCGGCGTACATCTCAAGTAGAACACATCCAAGTGACCAGATATCCACCTTGGCCAGGTACCCCTGCTTTTTGTCCTCGACAATCGAGTCAATCACTTCGGGAGCCATCCAGAACACCGTGCCCTGCATCGACATTTCGGCATTATTGGAGTAAATATCCTTCGACCGCTTGGAGATACCGAAATCGGAGATCTTACACGTGCCGTCCACTTCCAATAATAAGTTGTCAGCCTTCATATCCCGGTGCAAAATGCCATTGCTGTGAATGTATTGGAGCCCCATCAACACCTGGCGGGTGATATGGCGAATAAGGCCTTCGTCAAACTTACCAAACTGTTTGAGAATGGCCAGCACCAGTCCCCCTGATACGTATTCAAGGAACATATTGTATAAGTTTCCCTTTTGTTCGTAGCCAAGGTACTGGACGATATTATCGTGCACTAAATCCTTCATTGTTTCCACTTCTTTGTGCAACGCCAAGATCCCGCCATGGTTCAGCATCGTCTTGGAGCGGTGGTCCACTTGGGCTTCCACTTGTTTCACAGCCAACATTTCACCAGTGGTAACGTTAAACCCAAGATAGACACAACCAAATGAACCACGACCAATAAGCTCACCTTTAATCCATACAAATCGGTCAAACAGCCCGTTCTTACCCTGAATATTCAGCACCACGCCTCGTTCAATTTCACTCAGAGTCACTTCAGTCACCCGTTGACCCCACATCTTCGTCTTCAGCCGTCCCAAATTAAATTGAGGCGGTGGTGTCAGCACCCACAGATTCTCTGCCAGGTTGTCAACGGAGTGAGGCACTGGAGGCGCCCGTTTACCAGCAAGCAACCGGGTACGCGCTTCGATGGCCACGCCTCTGATGGTCTTCATCCGCCGCATGGGCTTGTTTTCAATGGCAGTGTTATAGTAGACGTCACCATCATCATTAGGTACTGTCAGGGCTTGCGGCAGCGGCAAATTGGCACTAGAGAATGTCTTGGCAATACCTTGAGCCTGGTGCTTAGCATCGTCATCAACTCTTCTCTCCTCAATGATCGGTTTATCGAGGTTGGTGTTAGGGAAGTACTTCTCCAAGTTGTCAAACACTTCCTCCGCTGGTGGACGCAACAAGTTCATGTTGGGCTTAGGCTTCGCCGGCATCCGTTTCATGAAGAACTCGTCGTCATTCCCTGCTGTTGGAGGAGGAGGAGGAGGTGGTGGTTTCTTGATTGGCTTGGCAAAGAAGTCACCATCACTAACGGCTCGTTGTTGTTGTTTCTGTTGCGGCATCGGTTTAGCGAAGAAATCGGTATCACTCAGTTGACTATCCAACGGTTTGGCAAAGAAGTCATCGGAGCCGCTGTCAGAGAACGCCGGAGCATCAGCAAACGAAATCAGGTTCTCTTTGAATGAGAACAGCTCCAGACGACGCGATGCCAGTCTCAGAATAGGGATACGGTTAAGCAGCAGTTGGCGCAGCATCAGCACTCTCAGCAGTCTCAGCACCAGCAGTTGGCGGTCAGGTGGTGGTGGTGCCAGTCTCTTAGCAATGATGGCACTCCCCGTCAGCCCCTGGCGGCGCAATTCCAGATTACGCAGACCAGGACGCAGACCCGAGCGCAGACTAGAAACCAGACGGGTAACACTACCGCCTACAGGCTGGGGCAGGGTCAGTTTAACATCAGGCAATAATGGGGCACGCGGCTGGTCGGGTGTGGGTACCAAGGGAAGCTTATTGCCGTCGTCCTTGGCCGTTTGTATTGTCAGTGCCAGCACTGGCAGGCGGATCAGGTCGGTTTGGAGCGACGATGTGTAGATGTTAGGGATCAATTTCGGTGCCTTAGCCTCCACCAGCGACTTGCGGCGCTTATCAAAATCGATTTCACGGCCCTCTTCGCGGCGAATCACCCGGAACAGCGCTGGTTGTGATGTTGTCAGCGGCGGCGGTAATGTAGATGAAGGCGGCAATGAACGAGACTGAGGCGGGTCCTGAGTATTGATCTGTAGGTTGGGCGGTTCTGCGGCCTTCTTAGGAGTGGAGGATGCCCCTGGAGTAGCAGTGGGTACCGGAAGTCGTAATGGGAAGTAGTGAGCTTTCAGTGGTTCTGGAGGCAGTTGTACCGAAGCTCCAGTCTCTAACGGGTCCTTACAATTCCAGTAATCAGTAACGGGAGCCTCCTGAGGCCGTTGAAGCAAGTACTGAGGAGTGGCGGGGTAGATCTTGTCGTTATCACCTTTAATCTCAAACAGCCGCAGGTCCAGTGAATTGGTCAGGTAGGTGTTGACACTCGGCAGCCCCGCCTCCAGTTTCACCATAAGCTTCACTAAGTTCATTCCTCGTACCACTTCTAAGAGTACAGGCTCAGGCAATGCGTTACCTTCACGAGCATAGAAATCGGTTAAATGGACGGTAAACGGAGCCAGTGGTAGTTGAAGCGCCTTGGAAATGAGTTCTTTAATCATCGGACCCAGGTGAAGCTCATCGGGAGGTACCGCTACAGGGACGAACGTCAGGTTATCCCGAGAGACAAGGATCACTTTCGAGTGGTGGAACATCAGGTCTTTCTTTGGCCAGTACTTTTCATCGAGAATGCGGTCACCTCGAGGGGAAGATATCACCCCTGCTGATGGCGGTTTCGGTGGCGACGGTGGAGCCTCAGTGGGTAAAGGAGGCACTCCGTGTTCGGCAAATAACGATGGTGGCGGGATAGACGGTACTGGAGGCGGTACTGGCGGCACAAGAGTCGGTTTCGGTGGCGGGGGAACCGAGGGTACCGGCGGTGGAGGTACAGTATCAGCAGGTGGAGGAGGCGGCGGAGGCGGTTGTTTGCGAGGAGTGCTATCAAATGGCAGGATTTCCAGCTCAAGCAGGCGGCGGATTGGCAGCGGCAGCGCTCCCCGGCGCACTTCCACCAGTTTAGGCACTGGTTGTTGTACAGTATAATTAGCCACATTCGTCGACAAATGAGTAGTCGAGAACAGGTGGTCTTTGCTTGAGAGTTTCCCTCTTACCATATTAAATATACCAGACTTGCGCAGGTCTTTCTTCACCGAGATATTCTCCATCAGGTTCAGACGATTAGCTTTGGCATGCGGCAGGATATAGTTCTGGTGGAGCTCGTGTTTGCGGAAGAACTTGTGTGGGTTTGTCGGTGTAAGCAAAGGAGACGAGTTCTGAGGAGCGTGCTGCTGGCGGTAGTAATTAGGATCGATGTAGGAGATGGGCCGATTAAGTGGAGCTGGTGCATAAGCTGTAGGTCCCAACGGAGTCAGTTTGCGGTGTTCAAGCTTAGCCGGAGGTCCTTCCTCAGCGGGAGGCGCCGTAGTCTCGTTCAACAACTCAATAAACCGTTCGATCAGATTATCGCCATTATCAAGCTCAAGATAGTTGCTGAATTGCTGCCACACATGCGATTGCGGGTCAAAATTGGCCAATTCCAAAAACCGATTACCCAGTATTGCATTGCGGCGGAACGCTTCCTTCCACAGCGGATTGAAGTTGTTATAATCGAGCCAGCGTACGACGTTGGCAATCAGCCATTGCGAGCCCAGCAGCGCTCCCGTCATTGCGTAAAGAGCAAACCGTTTATCTCTCAGTGATGCCTCAGTTCCCAGGCCCACCAGTGTAACCAGCAGCCCCAGATCTTGGCGATGGTGGAACTTCTTACCCACCGGTGCTGGTTGAGCGTAGTCTAGCAGCAGCAGCAGCTTGGTCAGGGTATTAGAGATCTTTCGCGGTTGGTCTGAGGCCAGGGTGATGGTAGGGACAGACAGCAGAGCCAGCGTTGGCGCCTGAGCCGAGGGAGGCAAAGCAGTAGTATTTGAGGCAGTAGGCGCCAATTCCATCAGCGATTTCAGTCCAAAGTAGCCACCAATGATCAGACCGATACCACCCAGGTTAGACAGGGCTAGCAGCTTTGGCGGCAGCGAATTGGGGGAGGCATTGACTGGTGGTGGGGGTGCCATTATGAGCGGATCAGGGTACGTTTCCGGCACCTCTGCCACCGGCAGCACCCACGACCGGTCGTCATTCAGGGTACGGCGGCCGATAGGGTCCAGAAGCACTCTCAGTTGCTCGGGAACCCTACCGCCTTGGTGTTGAAAGGGTAAGCGAATACGAGCGGCCTCGTAGCTCACCAGGCGGCGGTGGTCGGAGTAGTCTTGCGGGAGTGCCAGCTGCTCGGGCACAGGCACCGGCGCCGGCAACGTGGGCTCGCTGAGAGCCCGGGGGGAAGGGGGTTTGCGTGGCGGCGTGATTGGCAGGTAGTTTATAGGTGGGTGGTAATAACCGAGCGCGAAGCTGATGGGATGCCAAGGGAGGGTAGAGAGGGAGGGACATGAGGCGGAAGGATAAGAGGAAATTGAGGTAGAGTTGAGTCACGTGGATTGAGTCAAACGAGTATACTGGAAAGTTTACAGATTGAGGCTTGGGGCCTGCTTCTATTATTGGGGCTGGTGGTGGCGGTGGTGGTGACAGGTATACTATGTAGTGAGAGCGTACCACAGGTGAGGCGCAGAAACGCTAGCGCGTCTTAGGTAAATAGTGCGTACAGGTGTGCGACGCTAATTATAGGTAGCGGTAGAGATGCATCGAAGTGGATTTAAAAAGAAGAAAAATTAGGGTTGTATCGACTGCGAGAAAGATATACTGAGTGGCAACAGTTTTCATTAAGGTCTGACGACGTTAAGGTAGATGATTTTTACTCTGAATAGCTAGAAAGTGACTGCTAGTGAAAATCGGGTATGTCTTGGCTCCAGCAGTTACTGCCACAACCATGCTATCGTTACCAAAACTATCATTCCGCAATCAAAACGTTCAAGTTTCCACTCCTCGCCGACTATCTTGCGAACACTACACGAAGGTTACTACAATAATGGTCACCCCAGAGCTTTTTTGAAATTACTGAATAAGACATGCAATTTTTGAACGCGAGAATGATACCCAACCTTGGCTTCAATCAAACCATTTTAATAGCCTTGTGGACATTGAAATACGTATAATTCATGATGTAACTAGCTGGCTAAAGATCGATTCAGTCACATACAGTGGCTGGTGATTGGGTATTTTTTGAAATTGGTCTTGTGAGGCAATCACATACACTGGAGACCGATGGCTCCCGACACCACTTCCACCGTGTACAGGATGAATTGAGCAAACGACAAGGCAAACAAGGCTGGCATCCACCGCAGCGGCGGCAGCGTAAATGTGATGATACCCCCGCCAAACCATAGACCAGCAAGCACCATATCGGCGACAATGGGCACGGCAAACCCCATCGTGAGCTCTGCCATCACCGTTAAAAGGATATGGACAAGCGACAACCCTGCAATCACGCAGTAGAACCAGATTCCATCAGCGCCAGTCTCGCGGATGTGGACGGTGACAAAGGATAGGGCGACAATGGCGAGTATGGCCTCGAACGCTCTTCGAGTCACTGCACCGGGAGTAGGGCTGCGACAAGTCATGTGTTTTGGTTCTGTTTGCATTCATGTCTGGTGTGTAGGAGGGATGAATATATGGTTTTTGGTCAGCAGAGCACAGACCACCGAGAAAGACAGAGGAGGCAAAAGAACGTCATCATTACTCTATCAAGGGTACCTAAGTCAACAAGCTTTCGGTCTTGGGAATCATAAAGTCTTTTCCCTTAGCGTACCACACGAAAATACTGGGTACTCTCCAGCCCCAAAGTTTACCAACGCCGCCATCGGGACCCACAGGGACGAGACTGGTCAAGGGGGCCGTTTGATACTGCTTAGGCGAGATGTTTTCACCAAACATTTCCCGTTTGATCGTGTTTTGAATCACCAGCAGTTGTACCAAGTTAATGTCAGCCGCCGACTTTGCCGTGGTCAGAGCACAGTCTCCGGTGGCAAACACGTTGTCAGTACCTTTAACCTTAAAATGATCATCAACATTCACGTAATCCTTATCGTCCAAGTACTGTTTGGGAATAAAGCTGGTGTTCGGGGTATACCCGAAAGTAGGGATCACCAAGTCGAATATCTTCAGTTTGCTCTCATCGTCCTTAAACGTGACTTTATTACCGTTAACCTCACCCATCTTATTAATCACAGTCACTTTCAAGTCGTTCAACCGCTTCTCCGCCGCCTGACTGGTCTTGGCCCCAAACGGCTTTAACGGACCATCTTTGTCACCGGTAATCAACGTCACCAGCTTTTTAGGATATGCTTTAGCAATTTCACCCGTCACTTCCACTCCCGTAGCCCCGCCACCAACAATACAGATGCTTTGAGCCTGCTTAATCGCCTTACTAATTTCATTAACCGAATCAACCAGTTTTCTCACATCGCCATGAGGTTTAAACGCGTGGATTTCACTCCGTTGACCCGTGGCCAACACAATATAATCGTATTTGATCGGTTCCAGCTGAGTGTCCACTGTAAGCTCATTATTAGCGACATCAAGCTTAGTAGCAGTACCCACCACCAATTCAAACTCGTGCTTCCCCTTACGCTTTTCAAGTAAACGGAGATCAACCACCGTCTGAGCCACAAGCTCAGGCTTGACAAAAAGTCTCGGAGCAGCAGTGTTGTTATAGGCTTGCTCCAGAGCCGATACAAGGATCACCTTGGCTGGGTGCGATTGTTGGAGGATCAGTCTCACCACCGACACGCCGGACCACAGCCCTCCTACCACGACAATGGTGGGTGGATTCAGGTCGTTGGTAGATTTGTTTTTGATGCAATCGACCATGTTTTTGGGGTGTATTGATTTCAGCAATGGTGAAGCATCGCGGATATATATATATGTGTGCTCTCTCGCGAGGCTTATCGCTGACTAATTGCGCCGGACTTTAAGCAGTTCTGGTTGACTAACAATGAAATACTATCAAATTAGTTTCGAGTGGTACTTTTTTGATTCTGAAACGATAATATTTTATCATAAGATTTACGTTTTGTGGTAGCGTTACTCGTGTGTCGCCGACCACCTGCAACTGTGTGACTTCAGCCGCGCCAGAGCAAAGCTAGCCACTATTGCCGTCACAGTTCGATAGAGCACACTGTGATGGAACTTACAATGTAAACGTCCTGCTAGTCTAGCGTCTACGACCTGTTCACATTATTTGGTTCCGACTTTTCATTTCCCTGTGAAGATTGGCTTAGGGAGTTTCCCGGAGATGAGCGGACTTTACTATGTCCAATTCATGTCGATGAGTAATATAGGATAACGACATTTCGGGTTTCCACCACATACGGCAACACCCGAATGGCTGTGATATTGACACGCTAACATCAATACCTCAACGGTAGAAGCCAGATGCTAGTTTGAGGTTGCACCGGTATTTGACCAGCTTGAGCAACATAACGGTAATTACTTTAAAGAAATACGCCGATTCAACCGTGTACCATGGTTCATCACCGTGAAGGTGTTGTCAACCTCGATCCAGGCAACACTACCAATATGGACTGACATTACTTAGGGCTGTGTCCCGAAGATGTCGTTCACGACTTACATTGCATCTCCGTAAACACTGAGCACCAGAGTAAGCAGATCTCTCAGCAAGTGAGTCAGATTGAAGACTGGATGACCAATTCAAACCCACATCGTGAGTATAGGGTATATTTGGTTTGCAAGCTTGTTGAATCTAGTAGTATACTAGGTGTCAACTTGTCTTGGATGAATTCACTGTCAATCAGGTTGGTCAACGCGAATTCATTTCATCATCAAGTACTTCCTTTCAGTATTTAGTATACTCATGAAAACCTGATGGTTTTGTTACCAGCAATCTTTATAGAGCCATTGGCAACACACTCATCCAGCGGATAATCACTTCAACGGGCAACCATCAAAACTTTTGTTCATCATCACCATCGATTATCCAAACTTAACCATCTCATTATCTATTATCCCTCTCGCCACTTAGCTCACTTTCTCAGTTTCACTCGCCACAAAACGGGCCACCCGTCACTGCGCGAGCGCCATGATCCACTCGGTGCTTATCTTCAACAACAATGGCCTCCCCCGGCTCATGAAGTTCTATACCAACGTCGACCTACCCACCCAACGTTTACTTCTCCAACAGGTGTTCCAGCTCATTCTGACCCGGCTGGCGCAGGAGTGTTCGTTCATCACCCCGCCCAAGTTGTTGGAGGACCTCGACGATATCAAAGTGATCTACCGCCACTACGCCACGCTCTACTTTGTGTTTATCGTCGACGACCAGGAGCTGGAGTTGGGTATTCTCGACCTCATCCAGGTGTTTGTCGAGTGCTTGGACAAGTGTTTCACCAATGTGTGTGAGCTCGACCTTGTGTTTGGCTGGCAGGTCCTCCAGACGGTGCTAGAGGAAATTGTCCAAGGGGGGATGGTTATCGACACTAATATCAACCGGATCGTGGCTGCAGTGGACCAGGCCAACGGCATATTGGAGCCAGCGCCGCTGCCGTTCTCGCGATTCTGGGGGAGATAGCGAGCGATAGCGAGCGATAGCCCTTTACCCGGGACTCATTAGCATTCTTCATCATATGACGCCTTTAATAAGCTGTTTACGGTCACTTTTACGGTCATTTTTCATCATTTTTCATCATTTTTCGTTTAGCTATGTACAATACAATATATTTTAAAACCACTTGTTCCACCACAGCTTCACCTTCTGCTGCTTCTCAACTTTAGAGATCTCGTCCAACTGGTCCTGTAATCTTTCGTTAATCTCGCCGACTTGTTCCGTCGTCTTATTGCCGAACATCTCGTCGTCGACAAGCTTAATATTCAAGTTACGTTGGTCACGTTCGAGGGGCGAGCCAATGGGCCCAGTCTTCCAAATCGGGTCATCGGACTTTGACGTTTTCTTGACAATGTCCATCAACGCCTGCTGTTCCTTCTGGCGGAGGCCACGGCTCTTTTCGTACTCGGCTCTCACTTCGGGCAGGAACCGGGAAATGAGCTCCTCGTCAGTAGGGGTGGTGTAAATGTAGAGGAGCACACCAGTGCCGATAATGCACCCCCCAGCAAAGTAGACCCGGGCCCACCGGTACCAAAGCGGCTTCGTAGACATGGTTTAGGAGATACGAAGGATGCTTGCCTTTAGCGCTCTATTAGAGAAGCTTATTGTCAGCCTGGAGTTTTTCCCTCCTGCATATACATCACACACTGGCTCCAGCCATCAGCGCGCACTATGTAAGCAATAGCCGTCGCCGGACTATGGCCTCCATCAACGACTTGCCCGATGAGCTCCTCGTGGAGATCTTCTCCGCGGTGGATCTCGCGCAATTGGGTAACCTCAGACTTGTGTGCCACCGCTGGAATTTCGTTATCGTCGACCCCACCACGTGGCAGCGGGCATTCAGCCGTACTTTTGGCGCCCACCGCCACTTCCCCCAGATCAGGGCCAATTTGACGTGGATGGGAGAATACTACCATCGACTCAAGTGTATTCGTCTTTGGAGCAAAGCCCGGGGCACTCACGTGTCGTACCAGTTGATAAATAACGATCTACGCTACGTCGACCACGTGCTTGCCGATTTTGACGCTAATGGAGGCTATGGTAAGCTCCTCACGGCGCTGTCCACATACGGTTCGATACTGTGGTGCAATTTGACCAATGGTCGTCACCAAGGTTTTGTTCCCTGGCGCGGTACTGCCTTGATGGAAGCGTTTGCCACTAATTGGCACTGGTCAGTGGCCGGTGTCCACGACGAGTTGGTGATACGCAATTTGAAAGCATTAAGCACCAGAGGTAACGCTACTGTGATTGCCAAACGAAATCTGACCGAAATTACGGGGCATAAGTTTACTGCGATTGCGATAAACCCTTCACATTCATCAGCAAAACAAGGGCCTGACATTGCTACAGCCACTCTGGGAGGCACAATAGAGTTGTGGTCACTCCAGGGGAAGTCTCTAGCCACTATTGGTGGCGATGAACCCATCATTCATTTGAAACTGGACTTTGCTAATTACATCCTTTATATCACCACAACTAAATTGGTGGTGCGGTCATTTAAGCTGCCGTTTGACATAATAGCCACCCACGACCTCCCCCATCCGCTAGAGGGAGAATACTTGGACCATTTCGCTACATTTCACGTCGACTTTGCTGGTCAAAACGCCATCTTTAGTCACGGCACAAATGTCAAAGTGTACCATTTCGGTAGTCTACCCGAAATTGAAGAGAGAACCTTACAAATGAATGGTAATGTGGTGCTTAACGAGATGCAACTGATACCTCCAGAACGGGTTCAAAAGCTAGGGCTGCAAGACACTAAAGTACCTGGAGGAGACGCGCTATACTTTGCCACCGTGCTTGATACCGGCTCAGTAGTGGTGTGGAACTGTCGTAGTGCCCATACTACCATCATCCCTCAGTGTGAGATCGCCCCACCATACTTCGGCAAGCACTACCCACAGCTCTCCGATGATATTAGTCCCGTGACCTCAGTGGCAATCAATGCTGCTGTGGTCGTAGTAGGTGGCTACCGTGGTTATTTCAACGTCTACGATGTGTTCACAGGAAATATCATTAAGCTGGAGGCCCTGGTGAAGTACCCACGCAAGTTCCGCGAGATGTTTGACGAATTAGTCCCTATCAGTGCGATTAAACTTGATAATCGCGACCAGCTGGCAACTCATGGTGTTGTTGTGAGTGGCCAGTTTGTCCAGTACTTCCGCTTTGGCGACCACGTGCCCACACCCTCCCATCGCTCCGCCCCTAAGCGCCGCAACGTGGCTCGGGAGGCACCAATAAACCGACAAATAAGCGATGGCATTGACGAGTACGATCGCGAGCTATATAACCGTCGCCAAGAGGAGGCGTTGGTGGAAAAGTACAACGGCAGCGATCTCGATGTCGACGAGGAGCTTCGGGTGGCACTTGCGTTGAGCGCAAGCCAACCTTCCACAGACAGTGATCTTGAGCGGGCTATAGCTGCTAGTCGCGAAGAGTCACTCACTGTGTCAGCTGTAGAGGATGACGAAGAAGAGGATGAGGAGCTTAGACGAGCCCTCGAATTGTCGCTCCTCGAAAGCTGAGTCTATAAACTTACTATTTATACCCTAAAATGCATTCACCCACTTACGACAATTGGAACTTTTACAAGGTAGGCAGCTAATACTTGGGTACAAATACTTGGGCACGAGGATTTAGCGATAGGAGGGTAACTTCGAAGTGCGATTTCCATTCGTACACTCTTTCGACTCATAAAAATGGATTCAACGACGTCAGAGACAAAAAGAAGACTCCGGTACAGGGAATCGAACCCTGATTTGCTCGGTGAAAGCGAACCGTGATAGCCATTACACCATACCGGAGGTGAATGAGGTGTGGTATTTGTTGGTTGGCTTTGTGTAACAAATTGAAGTTGGTATGGATGGGAAGGAGATGGCGACGATTTGAGACATAGGCTTGATAGAGGGGGTGAAATGATGTTGATTGTTTGAAAGGGACAAGCAAAAAGAGAGCTCTTTGGCGGGGAATCGAACCCCGATCTCCCGCGTGACAAGCGGAAATACTAACCGTTATACTACCAAAGACTTCGTGGAAGAATTTTGCAGTCGGTTTGTGGAATCATGTGTGTGATACGGAAGTCCGACCTTTATTAGCCTTTCGAATTGCTTAAAAATGTACTCCTCACCTTCAGCGCAATATGAGATACAGAATTGTGCTTGTATTGTCCAATTTATTTACAGTTTGCACCTTTTATGCCCTCTCGAATTCTCTCATTTCCAGTGATGAAGCCGCACTGAGATCGTAGCTGAAACCAACCACACCACACACAAACATGTACAACGCCCGCCAGCAGCCGCCGCGGCGGCGAAAGAAGCAGCGGCTCTTCACCAAGGACATTGAGAACTTATTGTTTGGTATGGGTGATGTTGGAGAAAACGACGAGACCAACGCCGCTCTCGAAGACATTCTCAGCGGCTACCTCCAGGACTTGTGCCACCGGATGACGACCTACGCCCGCTCCCAGGGACGGCTGAGAGTGAAAATGAACGATATCGGCTTTGCCTTAAAGGATGATCCGCTCAAATTAGCGCGTCTCGAATACATTTTGGAACAACAGGCGAAGATTGAACGGGCGAAGCGTTTGCTCGATGACTTTGGCGACCAGGACGAAGAGGAAGAGACCGAGGAGGAGAAGAAGGAACGCAAGCGACGTAAACGGGAGGAGAAGAAGCGCGAGAAGGAAGCCGCTCGCCAAGCCAAGGAGGGGTGAGTCAATTAGTGATATATTTATAGATCTTTACGAATGTTTACGAGCAATGGCATCGAGGGCTTCGTTGACCCGCTGGACGACAATTTCTACCTCCCTAAACGTGTTGTAGAGGGGTGTGGGAGCAAGACGAATGACGTTAGGGCGACGCTCGTCGCAGATGATGGCGTGGTCGTGTAAGTACTGGAACACCTGTTCCATGGTATCGTGAGCCGGGTCATCCGAGTGAGGACCAAAGAGTACTGATAATTGAGCCCCACGTTCAGCGGGGTCTTCAGGCGTGAGGATTTTGAACCAGGGCGAAGAGGTGGCGTTGTAGTACGGTGATTGCACCAACAAGTCCCATAAGTGTTGAGTAAGAGCAAGACTCTTTTGTCTTAAAGTAGTGACGCCTCCAGCAGCAGCCACTAATTGGTACGACGTCTTCACGGCCACGACATCAAGCACTGATGGGTTCAGTTGGCGGTAGGAAAGGGCCAGTTGAATAGGGTCAAACTTCTCCAACATTTTGAAGCGGTCACTAGCATTATTCCCCCACCAGCCTGCTAACCGAGGTGGGAACAGCTCAGACGAGTTTTCCTTAGTATGGTTCTCGTGGACGAAAATACCCGCCATCGCCCCAGGGCCCAGATTAAGGTATTTGTAGTTACACCACACGGCAAAGTCGACGTTCCAGGCGTGTAATTCGAGGGGGACATTACCGACAGCGTGGGCCAAGTCCCAACCGACAACTGCCCCAGCATCGTGGCCGGCTTTAGTGATAGTGGCGATGTCGAACCATTGACCGGTATAGTACTGGATCCCGGGGAAACACACAAGGGCAAGTGCGTCCTTGTGGTGTTCAATTGCAGCGATGATATCCTTAGTTTTCAAGTAAGTGTCGCCTTCTTTCGGGGCGATCTGGATGAGGTGAGACTCGTCGTAGCCGTAAATTTTCACCAAATTGAGGAAGGCGTAGTAGTCACTGGGGAAGGCGTGTTTTTCAAATAAAATCTTCGTTTTCGAGCCCTTTGGTTTGTAAAATGACACGAGGAGGGCGTTTAAATTGGCTGTAAGCGACCCCATCACTGCCACCTCATTTTCCTTAGCACCGACTAAAGGAGCAGTTAACGGAAGCAAAGGTAAATCAATATCAACCCAATGGTTATCGTTTGGATGGTTAAAATGAGCCTCGACAGCGCGGGCGTGCCACGCCTTCAACTCTTCCTCAATGGCCTTGGGAGTGGCCTGGGGCATGAGACCAAGCGAATTGCCACAGAAATAGATACTCAAGTCGTCATCTGCAAAGTCAGAGTGGGTGATCCCCAACAGCTTAAACGTGGGGATGGCAAACTGGTCCCGGTAGGTAGGGGAGCCTTCGTCCATGGGGTACAGTAGTCGCGCCGGACCACTAGCGAGCACCAGTGGATCGTATACGACCGAGACACAAATTGTGGGGCAATCGTAAGATAAGTCGTGTTATCTTCGTTTAATTAAATTGCATGTGTAAATGAAATGATAGATTGTTTAATATTGTGAATAGGAGCTGGTTGAATCTAGTGAATTGTACGATGCCATTGAATTGATCTAAGAGATAAAGAGACACGGTTTGTAGGGATTGTTAAGGAGATTTTATGGTTGCTGTAGTGTAATTGTACCATTAGTAAGTGCTGATTATGACAAAAGTAGCGTTATTGTGATGGAAACGCTTTATTTGATATTCTGTGGATGACATTTTACGGGTAATTCTTTACGGTTAACTCGCTGCGATTAATTCGTTGGTGATGACTTGAATTGAAAACACGAATTTGAAATTCCAGGAAAAGTAGATGATGTGAAGTTAGAGATTGTGGAAAAGCTGTAGACCCGAATGATAGAGGAGAGGTGGTAGAACCGGAGATACGCTGGTCTAATCTGCTATCCTAATCAGGCCAATAATGAGTAAATTGAAGATGGTGGCATGCCAGTCGGGTATACGCGAGAGAAATCGCTATCGCGAGTTTGTCTAATGTTTGTGTATTGGAGTCATGATCATCACAATTTGCGGGCGTCGTTTTTGGAGCCGCCCACCACCGAGGGGATGCGGCGAGATATACGCTTCATCATCCCTGGTCGTTTGGTGGGGCTGGAGTCGCCGCCGTCGAAACTGGAGCCAATCAGGTCGGCGTACGACGACCGGATTGGCAGCGACGCCGCCAGCGCCAGCCCCAGGTTCAGGTGGACGCCAAACTTACTCGGCCGCGGTTGCGGGATCTCCGGCGCCAGCTGCTGGCTGTTGCGGTTCAGACTCAGTCGTTTGTTTATCGGCCGCGGCTGTAACGCGGGACTGGGCATCAACCGTTTTTGCTTGGATAAGCGGAACACCGCCCTTACTGGTTTGAGGTAAATCAGAAGCAACGTGCCGATATTGAGTTCGAGTTCCTCCAATATAGCGGGGTCGATAGTATCATTTTCTCCCAGAATGCCTGGTTGAGGGTTAAGGACCACTTTCTTGGTTATGGCTTGCCATTCCGCTCCCGGCGGTTGCGGTGCCGTGATCAAGTTCCAGTACATAAATCCGCGATCACGGATATCGGGGTTGTTCACTTGTTCGGTAGCGGCTTTAAGCACTTGAAGCATGGTGGCTTCGCCTGATTCGGGCTGTTTCAAGTATAATTTGACGGCAGCGGTGATAGTGGCGTTTTGCACTTCAAAGGCGTCGTTATCGAAATCTGTGACCATCAGCGCCAATATCCGGTTCGACCCGTTGATAGATTCACCAAACTGACCCAACATCCAGAGGAGGGACGCCTTGGCATCGGGTTCGTCGATGACATCGTAGTGCTTAATTAACTCCACTAACGCCGAGTTGAATTGGTGAGGGTACTTGCGGACAATGTTTTTGATCACCACCGCTGCCTCTTGAACGATATAGGGGACACCATGGCTAAGTAATTCCACCACCACATTGACACAATCGGTAGCGGCTTCCGGTACTTTGACGGCTAAATTACCAAACGCTCTGATCGCCTTACGCGCCATTTGCACGTCGACTTCGGTAGCGTACTCTTCAAGTTCTCGAAGCACGCGAGCCACGTTAGTGGAGTCAGCCAATAAATAGATGATCTCAAGCTTAGTGTCTTTAACGTAGATGGGGTCATCGTAGTTGCAAAAGAACATCAGCACGTCGACGTTTATAAGGTAGCGACGCCCTAAAAGTAAAAGGATGGCGTTGCGTAGGACCAAGAACTCAAGTTCCAGTGGTTTAGTTAAAAGCGCCACCAACAGCAGACCGATACGTTTAGGTAACGTCGGGAGTGCCAAAAGCACCAGCTGTTCGCTGGCGTAGTTATTCAAGTAAACGATGATTTTGATCGCGTTAAGCACCACGGCGGTATTCTCGTGAGAGAGCCACGGCATCACCGCCTCAATCAAGTCGATGGCCTCGTCGCCCAGTTGGGGGACGTACCCCATGAGGGCGTTGATTATGTACAGTTTCCCCCATTCATTGGCCTGTTCTAGGCGAGATATGAGTACCTGGCAGTGCTGTTTGGTTAAGGCGAAGGCGAATTTCGGCAGCACGTCGGTGATTGACGAAAGAGCGGCAAGACACAGCGCAAGCACCACCGTATCGCTTTCCTCGAGAAGCATATCGTTGAGTTTGTGGATGAGGACGTCTGTTTGGTCGGCGGCGTGCTGGTAGAGGCGGGCGACGGCGTAGCACAGCACTTTCCGTACTTGCGGGTCGGAGTCGTTTAGCTTGGCAATGGTGGCGTGGAGGGCAGCATCGATAAACGGACGTCGGTTCACTTGCAGTAAAGTCCGGATGGCGAGAATTCTCAATTGCGGCAGCGATGAACTGAGCCATTTCGTTAGTATGGGTAAAGCGTCGTTAATCACGTTACGCGAGTCAAGATCGCTATAACTGGTCAAATAGTTACAGCAGAGCTTTAAGATATCGACGTGGTCGTTACCGGTCAGCGACATGATCCGGATCACCGCGGGCATCATGAGGATCATGTCCGAGTTGTTCATGGCGGTGTTGGCGAGGATTTTCTTGAGGACGACGTCGACCTTGGCCGCGGGTTTCTTCCCCGGTTTTTTCCACGCCTGTTCGAGCTCGGCCTGGAGCTCGGCCAGCTTCGCTTTGGCGTAGTATTTGGCGTCGCTCATATAAGGATTATAGGACGGAGGGACGAGCCGATAGCAGTACCCTCACAGCTTATACGGGAATGATTTGGTGGAGTCAAAAGGGGTACGTTAGGAAAACAGAACGAACGCCAAAAGGTTAAGAAATGGACGGCCTGTCGAGGGTAGTTGTAGGGGAAGTGTTTGGCAACGATAGCGCGATTTGGAGAGCGAGCAAAAGATAGCGTGCGACTGGCACCGATAAATCCCAAGCGAAACGCGTGTAATTAGCCATGACAATAATGTGAAATTTGAATATTTGACTTGTTATTTGAGGCATTTGAGTAATGCTTGATCGATGTTTTGAAAATCATGAAAATGGTAGCATTTGGAGCATCGCACGGAGTTATAGTGTCGGGGTCGGGGCAATGGCGGCCATGGCCGATATAGGGGCTACCGCGTAGCCGACGCGCCGGTGCATTGAGAGGAAAGTGGCGGAAGAATGGCTTGAGTGGGACTCGAAGGGAGCTTTGTGGTGCCAGCGAATATTCTATTAGCTCAATCTTTATTTATATGAGAAGACATCATCCCTTTCGCTAACAGGCTTAGACTACTATAGTGAGTGGATCGATTCAAGTAGAGACAAATGGTATTGCTTCATCTACAATGTCACAGTTATCTATGGGCTGTAGTATTTGAATTTGGGACAATGTCAGGACAGTTCATGACCTAACTTGACCTCTCGTGCTTTCTTGTCTAGTGCGTCAACCGTGACACCCACCTCGTGTGTGTTGTTTCAGGCTATCCCTTTCGACGAAGATGAAACTACAGGGCGTACCACCATGAAGCTATTTAAGGAGACCTGATTGCCTTTTGATGGTGATGAATCAATCAATCGTTCCTGGTGTTCATCCCATTTTAGCGCTTCATTCAAAAACAGTTCGAGATGAAATGGAAAAGGCGATCCATTTCCTCTCTAATGAACGTGACCGTCACCTAATGACTATCTTATTAAGGGATTATGATCAACTACCTATTGACGTGGAGGAAGACGTTGAAATGGTGGAGCGGCTCATGGCTGACCTCATTAGAACCATCACTGACACGTACCAAGTGTCTCAGAGTAACGCCAGGTTTATCCACTTTTCTCGAGCGTTGGCGGAGTGGGGGTTGGCGATGGTGTCGGCAATGATGTCTCTCAGTGGTCGGCACAAGCGGAAGATGGCACGCACGACTACTTTCGTGAATAAGAGCCGCTATCAAGCAGAGTATCATGCTCGACTATCAGTGTTGACGAGAAAAGCTTTGCGTGACTTCAAGAAGCTGCTACGTGGTATAACCAAGATTTCTGCGAAAGAGCAACGCCACTTGGATGGAAAGTTTACCAAGATTGATCAGTTTTTGAACTTACGTCACACCACTTACAAGAAAAATGGTAGGTGGCTGTCAATTTTGAAAGGGTTGAGCACAACTCGCGATTTAAAGCTCACTCCGCTGCTTAGGTTGAGGCTTACGAAGACGAATGTCAATTACTACCATGTATACGGTCAACAATTGTTCGATTTACGGCATTTTACGAGGAGTTGAACACCTCGATTTGGTATGGTACAAGAGTATTTGAATTGCATCGGTCCAAAGCACCCCACCATATATGAATAAAAATACTACCAGCTTGATTACAAGTCGCTAATTGGTTCTGGCAACAACGGTTCTACCAGTGCACTTACAGGTTCTAATTGAGGTTAGTTGGTTCTGGCAACAACGGTTGTAACAGCACAATCACTAGTTTCAATTGTTGTTCATTGGTTCTAGCAACAACGGTCCTACTATCTGGTCCTGGCTGAGATCTCCCATGGCCAGTGCCATCAATCCATTATACAGCTGCTAACTACCACCACACGCTTTACCTCTTGACTACCAATTATTACAGTCATAGGTCTACCTAAGCCTACTCTTCCATTAAGTCACAGTGGTTTATTCCCTCTACTGTATTGTCAAATCCTATCGATTCATTCAGTCTACATCTTGTGCTTGATCTTACCCTCTCTCAATTGCTTGAAGCGGTCTTGAGGCACCCCCTGGATCCACTTGTCGAACCCGACCACGGCTTCCTTAGCATTGGCAGCGTTGAGCATGGCGTCACGGTTAGCTTTAAGCAACTGCTTGTTGGCCAACATCAGCGGGTAGTACAAGTTTTCAAACATTTCCGTCACCATTTTCTCGATGGCGGCGTTAAATTCTTCCGTCGAGCTGAATTGACCGTCAAACAGCTTATTGATGAACCCAACGCGTTCAAGCACTTCACCCTGGATGGGACGAGCGAACACGATTGCTTCCAGAGCCAACAGCCACCCCAAACGCTGGTAGAGCGACGCCAGCGCCATCCCTTCACACACCAAGCCCAAGTTGGAGAAGGGGGCCAATAAGTAGAATTTGGCCTTTTCCTTGACGTAAATGACATCGGAAAGAGCGAGCAAAGCGGCACTGAGGCCAATGGCAGGACCGTTGACGGCGGCGACGATGATCTTCTTGTGGTTGTGGAAGACGTCGGCGAGCCACACGTTGCGGCCGACAAACCGCTGGAGCCAGTACTCGTGGTCGGTGCTCAGCAGCGAGCCGACATCCTTCATGTTCGCCCCCGCCGAGAAGAATCTGCCTGAGGATTGGATGATCGTGACCACCGAGTCCTCATCCTCATTGGCTTCTTCCATCGCTTTACCGAGGGCAATGTACTGTTGGTAAGTTAACGCATTGAGCGCCTTGGGGAGGTTGAACGTGATCACGGCGACCTTGCCTTTGAACTCGAGCGATACTTCGTCAGACATGATGGGTTAAGGGTGTGAAGTTTTGGGGTTTCTGTGATTTGTGGGGATTATATGGGGGGCGCGCCAGTAGCCGAGGCCGAACGTTGATGAGGGGTAGGGCATAGCGATTAGACCGACAATAACCGATGTGGGGGACACTTGAGGAGGAGCGGGGGAAGGAAACTCATTGACTTCATCTATATCAAGGAGGAGTTCAATTGAGTTGAAATTTAGGTAGGATTTTGGTGTTAATGGTAGCAAATAGTGATCCTTGGTGGGTGACGCACGTGACTAACGCCGGCTACTAGATTTTTGGCGGGGGCAGAAATCTCACAGGCCCGCGAGACCCTGAAAAAAAATAGGAGAGTCACATGACCAGTCATGTGATATAACACGTGATATTCCACGTGACCTCAAGCTCAATCTCATCCTTCATATCTTGTCAAAGGCCGCTTGTTGGGGGGTGCGGATGCACTTTCCCGATTAACTGCTCACTAATTATTAGTCAGCGTCGGAGTTATTGCGCTGACGACAACCTCACCTGAGGCCGCATGCTCCTACCGAGCATCCTAAATCCGCTGCTAGCTCCAATTATCACAAGCTGGGGCACCCGTGGTCGACGATGAGGAATACGGGGGAAAAGCAAACGCTCTCAACCGGGATACGGCTAAAGGGATCCTCTCAAGTGAAACGGCGATCTTTGTTTGCCCGAAGAACGGTGATGGGGTACAGCGGCGGCAGCGGCGGCGCCAATCGCAATTTGCGCCCAGAGGCGCCGAGATCACCGCTGAATTGAGGGTGCGCAGCTGAGGGTGTGCGCTCATGATAATATTGATGTGGTGACGGAAATAATTTTTTGCCGAGATGGCTTATTCAGGTTCCACCAGCGATGGCCCAGTAAGCGAGTGCCACAAACGGAGCCAGGTGAAATCTGCGCCAGTAGCGCCCCCCTAGCGCTGTTGCTTTTTGCTGCTATTGTTTAAAGTCGCCCCCGCGCCGCTTCTCGTACTGCTGCTCGTACTGGCGCCGCTATTGTCGCCCATTCGAGCGCATGCATCTATAGGGGGGGATCTCGCCATCGCACCCGCACCTGGTGATTAGCCCCCAAATTGCGCGTGCGAGTTGCCGTCGGCGCTCGGAAATAGCATGTCAACGCAAAGCGTGCGCCCTGCGCGAAAGCTGCTGAAGATCAACAGCAATCTTCTCGTCTAGGCGCCGGTGGTTGCTTGCCCGGGGTTTCCATCCAAGCCTAACTAAGAAGGTTCTTCCGGGGACCCTTGGCGTTATCGATAGGGGGGCGCGATGGCGCCACGGGCGCCGGCGCCAGCGATGGCGCCAGCGGGGGTGTTTCTCCATTGCCACTTTGGTCACCGTAAAGCTATACTCCATTAGTTTGTAAATGTCATTGAGTGTGAATCCATTGGGAGGCTTAGAGAGGACATTCGGGATTGCATTGGGCATTAATCCGCTGCGGGATGAGGCGTCGTCCTCTATGTTGAATGGTAGGCGGCATGGTGAAGATACGGCGCTTTCGCGGCGCTGCCCGCTGGCGAAATTTTTATTTTTGCGCCATGCATGGATTGGCGATGGAGTCCTTTCGCTATGGCGATGATTATTTTTCGGCTGCTTTTTGCGGCAGCTTGCACAGCGGGACGGCCTCACCACCTGACGCTGCCTCCGATTACGAGATAGCATCATGAGCCAAGCGCTGATACGAAACACACGCCATAGCGTAGAGTGGCATGAGGGTTGGGGCGCTGGGCGCTGGGCGCTAGGCAGTTGTGATGCCAACGCCAGCGGCTTCTGCGGCGCCATCGCCAGATCTAGTCGAATCTAGTGCCGACTAACCTAATATTTAATGGCGGCTAACGTGGCTAGTGAACGACCCTATCGCCATGATGGGGTGTAGCAGCGCATATACCCAGCGCACCGATTGCTTCGAAGACAGTTGCCACGAGGCTTGCTCAGCTGAGGGAGCGGGGAGTGGGGGAGGTGCGGGAGTCGAAGCGCCGGTTCCAGACGTTCGGCGCCCGGGCGTGTGCGGTTGGGCGATGGGGCGATTGGCGTGCGGTGGGGCGATTGCCCACGTCATCGGGGGCTAGATTGTGGCTCGACGGTTGGGGCAGGTGATGTCGTCGCCGACGGAGATGCGCCCCGTCGCCCTTAACACCCGATTGGGAGTCAGCGTCGTTTCGGAATTTCACCAGTGCAGCAGCGGCATCGGGCGATGATGTTAGAACCAAACACTCCCGAAAAAACAACTCTGACTCAAGCCAGCTGCTAACTACCCATGCCATCTAAGGCTAACCTACATTGTATTACCCTGATTTTTTGTGAATCCAGCCCTCATCATGGTGGTATCGTTGTCCCCCAGATTTGTTGCCAATCATAAATTAGCCTGAGGTGCAGGCGTCACTTGCAGTCGCTTCGCGGCGGCTGCATATCGAAATATTATTTTCCAAATGTCCACTATAATCCTAAGCGACGAAGATTCCCCCTTGGATATATATATATAATAGGCGGCGGTGTCGCCTGGTCTCCTGCTACCGAATTCCCAATCCGTGCTGATGAAACTCCAATCGCTCGTTGCCGCAGCGCTGGCGGCAATCGCCGTCGCCGCCCAGGAGGTGACGGGAGTGTTTTCCGGCATCTCTTCCGTGGTGCCCCAGGTGCCCAACCAGAGACCGCTGGCGATCTGGACCACCACCGTCGACTGGGGGATCGACGGCTCCAAAGTGTCCCCCGGCGATACTTTCCATTTGACGCTTCCGGGGGTGTTTCTGTTCGCGGCAAAGACGGTGGACTTGAAGGTGGGCGACACCGTGTACGCCCACTGTACGATGTCGGGAGGCGTCGACACTGACGGCACCCTCAAATGCACTGCGACCGACGCCGTGACGCCCACCACCGAAGTTTATGGCGAGGCGTGGTTTCAGGTGTTCCTCTGCCAGGGGTTCGCGTTTGAGTCAGGCGACTTGCACTGTCTGAGCTTCTGGCAAGCAGGACTGAACACGTGGACAATCAACGACGGCGCCAACGATTTTTCCTATACTTTTAATATTCACGGGGAATACGACTCCGAGAAGTCTCAGGGTAAAAGAGGCCCGTCCGATATCGTCCGCACCGGTGTGTGTGCCGACGGCTACGACCTGGCGCTGATTCTGGCGTCAATCGCCGACGGCAACATCGACTGTTCCACGGTGAAAGTGACCTACTCTTTAGGGGTAAACGACTGGAACTCGCCCAAAACCAATGAAGGGCTGAGCATTAGTCCCTATACGGTGTCATGTTCTGCGGGCAAAGTCACCGTCACCATGGGGAGCATCCCCGCTGGCTACGTGCCGTTTTTGACGTTTACCGACGACGGGGTGGGCAAAAACTTCACTTATGGCAATACCTATAAGTGTAAGTCTCTGTCCACTACCAAGACCAATACCTGGACGCGCTACTACCCTGGTGGTTCGGTGACGGGGCTGGCGGGGGCCGACGGGATGGCCATTGCTAGAACCACTACGGGGTGGACGGGGACGGCGGTCCTGACGACGACGTTGCCGTTTGTTACTACCAGTGGCGGCACCAAGACGGTGGTGATTTTGACGCCTTACCCGACGCTGACGTCAAACACTCCTACTTCGTCGGACACGCCCACGTCTTCTTCGGAAGAGTCGTCGTCTCCATTGATCACGTCGTCGTCCGAACTGACAGTGGAACTGACCACGGAATCGCTGACTGAATTGTCTCTGCTGACCGAGGAGCTGTCCCTGACTGAAGAGTCTATTCTGTCAACCGAAGAACCCTCGCTGCTGACTGAAGAACCCTCGCTGCTGACTGAAGAACCCTCGCTGCTGACTGAAGAACCCTCGCTGCTGACCGAGGAGCCTTCTCTGTCATCTGAAGCACCTAGTCTGTCATCCGAAGCACCTAGTCTGTCATCCGAAGCACCTAGTCTGTCTTCCGAGCAAGTTTCGTCCACTGAGGAGCTGTCGCTGCTGACCGACGAGCCAACTCTGTCTTCTGAGGAACCCACTCTGTCTTCTGAGGAACCCACTCTGTCTTCTGAAGTATCTTCGTCCACTGAGGAACCGTCGCTGCTGACTGAAGAATCGCTGACTGAGGCACCTTTGTCTACTGACGAACCCACACTGCTGAGCGAGGAACCTTCTCTGTCCACTGAAGAGCCGTCGCTGCTGACTGAAGAGCCGTCGCTGCTGACTGAAGAGCCGTCGCTGCTGACTGAAGAATCGTCGCTGCTGACCGAAGAACCTAGTCTGCTGAGTGAAGCACCTTCATCTACTGAGGAGCCCACTTCTCTGGTTGAACTGTCTACTGAAGAACCCACTTCCCTGGCTGAACTTACCACTGAGCAACCGTCTTCTTCAACCACCGACGAACCATCGCTGTCGCTGGAACTGTCGACTGACGCCCTGTCAACTGAGGAACCCGCATCGCTGTCGGAATTGCCTTCGTCGTCCGAAGAGCCCACTCTGTCTGTGGAACTGACCACTGAAGTGCCCTCCTCTTCTGAAGAGCCCACTTCGCTGGTACAACTGTCCACTGACGCGTCTTCGCTGTCAATTGAGCTGTCGACTTTGGAACCTACGTCTTCATTTTTCTGGAGTAACTCTTCCAGCACTGTGGTTGTCCTTCCCTCGAGTCTGGAAATTCCCACTTCTCTGGACATTACCACTTCCCTCGACATTGTGCCTTCATCGTCGGACGCCCCTACCTCGTCGGACGCTCCTTCTTCGACTGACGCTCCTTCTTCGACTGACGCTCCTTCTTCGACTGACGCTCCTTCTTCGACTGACGCTCCTTCTTCGACTGACGCTCCTTCTTCGACTGAGGCTCCGTCGTCGCTGGCTGCTCCTACCTCTTCTAGTGAAGAAGCCTCCCCTTCGAGCCTGGACGTGTTTCCTTCGAGCGCCGAAACCGCGTCGACTCTGCTGCCTGACTCGTCGTCTGAGGTTCCCCCCACTTCCAGCCTTGACGAGCTTTCGCCTTCCACCAATGACGCTTCGCCTTCTACCAGTGATGCTGCTCCGTCAAGTCTGGACACGGTAGTGTCTCCCTCGAACCTGAGTGTTGAAGAAACCAGCCTGAACGCTCCCTCGAGTCTGGATGTCACCTCGAGCGTGGACGCTCCTTTGAGTCTGGATGTTACTTCGAGCGTGGACGCTCCTTTGAGTCTGGATATTACTTCGGAGACTCTCTCGTCTCTGAGCTCGGACGTGTTCGCCACCGAACTCACTGAATCGGCGACTTCGCTGGACAACGCTCCTTCGTCTACCGAGTCGACTGGCTCGAGTTTGATCACCTCGGCCACTGGGGGTGAAATCTTGTCTTCTGATGTCACTGGAAGTGTGGCTGAGACTTCGGCTGAGACGACTGAGCCATCTACTGAAGTTGTCCCCTCGCCTTCGACTGACGCCTCGCCTTCGACTGACGTTGTTCCTTCGCCTTCAAGTGAATCTGCAACTGAAGCGTCTGCGGTTTCGTCCACTGAAGCGGTACCTTCGCCTTCGGTTGACCCTTCCACTTCCGCTGACCCTTCCTCTACCGGGGAACCTTCGCTGGCTGATGGTACCACGGTGGTTGTTGAACCCTCGTTGACTTCTTCTGCTGACGAGCCTTTGACTGAACATAGTTCTACTGACCAAACCTCATCGTCTGTTAACACCGCTGTGCCTGAGCCCTCGTCCGCTGATACAGCTCAATCACTGGCTGATCCTTCGTCTGCTGACATCACTCAGGGGGCCGATCCTTCGTCCAATGCGTCTTTGACTGGTGGTGATGCCTCTACTGGTGGTGAACCTGCTTTGTCGACTGAACCTTCGTCTGCTGCTTTTTCTACTGGCGGTGAGCCTTCTTCGGATGTCATTTTCCCTCCTGAAATTGTCACTACCAAGACCACCACCACCGTCACTAAGGAGTGTCCAGTGTGTGAGGAGAAGACCACTACCGTCGAAGTTCCCTGTGTTGTTGAAACCACTACTGGTGACCACGGTCCGGTCATTACCACTAAGGAAGTTGAGCACAAAGAGACTACTATTGTCATCTGCCACCAACAACAATGTGAAACTAAGACGACCACGGTGTGGGTCGAGTGTCCTCCCACCACTACTGAAGCTGGGGCTGAGCCTACCACTGAACACCAAGAAAACCCTCAGCCTCAACCCGAGACCAACGGTGGGACTAGTACTGGTGTCGTCATCCCCAACCCTGAAGCGACTCAGCCCGGTGCACCTACCCCTACTGAAGCTAAACCTGAGGAGACTAACCCTGCTGAAGCTGTTCCTACTGAAGCTAAGCCCGAGGAGACGAAGCCTGTGGAGACGAAGCCTGAGGTGACTGAACCTGAAGCGACTAAGCCTGTTGAAGGTGTTCCCACTGAGGCAAAGCCGGAGGAAACTAACCCTGCCGCTCCCACTGAAGCTAACCCGGCTCCTACTGAGGCTAAGCCTGAAGCGACTAAGCCTGCTGAAGCTAACCCGGCTCCCACTGAGGCTGCTCCTACTGGGGCTAACCCTCAAGCCACTGAAGCTCAGCCCGAGCCGACCAACAAGACGTTGGAGTCGGAACAACGTCCTTCGGTGGCTCCCGAGCCCGTTGCCCCCGCTCCTCCAAACACTGCGTCTGCCCCCGTGGCCGGTGGCCCTGGCCCCGCTCCCTCGGGTCCGGTGTCGTTCACTACCCTGGCCACGAGCCAGTCTACTGGGGAAGCCACCCACACTCCCGTGGAGTACGAGGGCGCCGGTAGCGTCGTCACCATCCCGCGGGCGGCAGTGCTGCTTCTCCTCGTCGCAATGCTTTTCTAGTTTTGCCTTTTAGCATAGTGTATAATTTGTCATTTAATCATTCCAATGATATCTTCAGGACTCACCTGGTATAGTATAGGAGTAATTCGCCCTCATTGCGCATCGTGTACATGTGCATTGAAAATATTCAGCACATCATATTTTCCACGCATGCACTGGTGTTTACGGAAGTATGCAGCGAGCAATTATGCTTTGGCAACTCGCCGAAAATCGTGCCCTCAACAATAGCTAACGATCTATCGCTTAAGAAAGAAAAACAATGACGGAAAAATAAGATTGTTAACGTTGATTGTCCGTCGATGAGATGATCCGGTTCTCAATTGGCAGGGTGACGGTGGGTACAATGAGTGCTGCAAACCCTTAGTGGTGCTAAGTGTCGCTTCGGGAATTAAGTTGCATACCCCCGTCGTATTTTGAGCCACTAGCAATCCCTTATCGGCTCGACCTTCATCCGTAGGGGGGAACCACGTATTTTTCGCAATATTTCAACTGTTTCAGCCAACCTATTCTTATCGCTATCGTACGGGGCTTTTGTGGCAGCTGTGGTGGCAGCACTTCGGGGTTTGTGTTCCGGCAGCGGGCCGGCTCTGCGGGTTTGCAAATGGTAACCCGCAAAAAATTTGTAGTGCAAATTCCACGTCTAGTAGTTAGTAATACGACGGGCGGCACCTCGACACGAGAGAAGGGATTGAGCCAGATTTAGACTCCAATAGGATAAATTAGCGTACGTTTAGAGTTTGAACTCCCGTAAAGCAGCGAAGGTGCACGCGACCACGCCATGTGTGGTTGCGGGGGCCATTGTGAACCTTGGGACCCTGAAGGGACCCTGAGGCTTTGTCTCAGTTGGTGAGCACATTGCCAGTGCCTGCCAGTGCTTTGTGGCCGACGACACGCGTCCACCAAGACGGCGAAAATACGGGTGGTGTCAGCAGGGATGTCAGCAAAGGCAAAAGCCAGTTAAACGAATAATACCCTGGGTACAGCACCAGTCGACAGAGGTAAAGTGGTTACAGGAGGCGTATTTTGTAACGGCCAGCTTTGTGGTGTGTTGCTTCCACTATTGTGCGACGGTCTTGATGCGCCGAACATGTGGCAAACGGCACCCTTGCTGCGTCCAACGAGTGAAACAGAAAGACATTTCAGACACTGGTGGATTAAGAAGAGGTACTTTTGGCGGCTGAGATGGCGTTGCGCGCTTCAAAGCTGGCTCATCGTCGTCCGGCGGTAGAACAATGGTGGCCAGATCCCGTCCGTGTCGTGAAACTGAGTGGTGAAATTCGTCGGTGGCTTATTTTGATACGAAAAAGCTTTGGTTGACTTCGATTATCCCGAAATTCCGTTGCGTTTGCGAGTAGTGGCTGTGTAAGATGACACGGTGCCATCGCGTCCATGCGAGAAGATTTGAGACAATATTGTACTGGCTGTGGGTTTTTCTTCGAATGATCAGTCTTCTATTGTTATTGAAATTCCTAACATAATTGTCCCCGAATGAATTGAACCAGCCAGGAGGTTGAGGCAATACTCAAGGGATATCCGTGGGTAATTCAATATCTTGAGACGAATTCGTCGGGTACTTCGGCCATTAATATTTCCTAAACTCTTTGTTGGCTACTCTTTGGAACCTGTTGGATAGAATCGGGACTTGTGAAGTCGTGTTTACCCACTAGCATTGTTATACATGGTTTCGACAGACATTCATTGTAACTTGGGAAAAAGTCAATTCTGAGATATCAATCGGCTTATTCCAACGCTGTATGTGGGCCATTTTCCATAATTGATGTTGTGTTATGAAGGGATTACACGCAATAAATTGATGTCGAGTGAACATCAAATCAAACGATGAAAGGTATGACAGATCAAAACACCAGGCGGTCATGTTTACGTCACCACCACTGCTGTCTTAGGAATGATTCATGAATGTCCACAAGGCGACTGATTGGCGCCAACATTACGGAGGTAAAACCTGGAAGTCTTACAGCCGTTGCCGGTTTGGTGAATGCCTAGACAAGCACTGAAACAACTCTCCTATCATCGTGGCGGTCATACACAATCACTCAAGTGGATGAGTCCCTACATTTACTAGCCTTGGAAATGTGTTCACCTGAAATCACCAGTGGATGAAACCATTCACTGATGGATCCAATGGCTCGTCATACTTCACTTCCTACTTAGTAAGAGCGCTGAAGAGGAGTAAAGCGGCCCACAAACTTGGACCCAGTCCGAGTTGAATCATGGTGACAACGAACTCCATTGTACCCTTTTGAAGGTGGCCAATCCCGGTGGCAGAGGACCCGTTCAGTTTTTTGGTCTGGCTGTACCCAACTATAGTACCATTCACTCGACAAATTGTGGTCCACAGATGGGCATAGTGGTGATAATTGCTTCAATTAAACACAGATTCAGTACAGGACAATATTCAATCAGCTTTACAGCTTTGGAACGGATTTTCCAAGTGGAAGTCGGCACCCATCACTAAAGCGACATCATTTCCGCTGGTAGTATAATGCGATCAAAGGTGACATTACTCAATGGTCACCGCGGCATCAGTGGCTTCATGTATCGCTCAACCCTGAGTTATACACCAAGCTTCCTTTATGATAGGCCGCCCTTCAACTCCCTTGCAACCTAAAAGTATACCCCGGATTCCTAACTTCTTCTTTATACCCCATTTCCACAATATTGCATTCACTTCAACCAGGACTGGTCAAATATTGGTGTAAATACTCGAGTGATGTAAGGTAAGAAAGCCTTCTCCGGCAATATACTCTCAAACTTGAGAGACCTTTCTCAATATCTCTGGACGGAATGCCACCAGGGTTATCATTTGGCTCGACCCCTAGCCCACCCACGTATCCGTGTCGTAGCCACCTGATCCCAATTTCATGGAACATTGCCTCGCCTCCAAACGTGCTGGTCTCAAAGCAGCGTGCTTCCCGTACCTCCTCTTCAGTTTCTGAGCCAATCAATTTAATATGGGGATGGCGGCAATGGCTTCGTTTACCTTCGCTCTCTTCACTATATGCAGGAATCATCACCAGATTGTGAGCGAGATATCTAATCAGTTAGGGCGAGACCAATTTACAAACAATGGAAACATTAAAGACCACGGACAAGGTGTTTTTTCAATGAATGAATCTTAATATCAAATGCTTAGAGTCTGAGGCATTTGCAAGACTCGCTGGTGTGTCCATCGGAGTCGCAGCCGCCATATTCTTCACCCTGCCCAGATGACTTTGCATGCTGAATTGCCTGGGCTTTAAGACCAAATGCCGGCTCTTTTCCTCGATCGTTGGGGGCCCATCTCCCTGTTTCATCACCTCCGCAGTAGCTATCATTTGAATGGCTGTATTCCACTGCTTGAGCCTCCTCCTGACCGCACCCACACTATGGCCAGAGAACGTGCCAGCCACCACCCTTAGGATGTTGAAACTGACTTAATTATTTCTGGCACTTCCAATACACACATTTTCGTGAGGTACACCAGCCACACGGTGACGTCGATCTGTGGGGTAATTGCTCCAGCTCGGTAAATGGCATTATGGGAATAGTGTCTACCACATTCTGTTGCATTTATATGAGCCAATAATGACGCAGGCTGGTCATTGACTATGGGGGTTATAAATCGGCAGTGTCTGGTGCTTTCACAGCGTTCGTATGGTCTTGGAACGACATACCTTCCTGTTTGAGCCACCAATCACTCGACCACTTACAGAGTATATAGACCCCCTGCGATGTGTCTTTGAAAAACCCATCACCATGAACTTCAAGGCCCTTGTTGTTGCTACCGTTGCTACTATCGCGATCGCTGCCCCCACCGCCGACGGCGCTGACGTCGCCCAAGCTAAGGCCAAGAGATGGTGGTGGATTGACTGGAGAATGTTTGAACCTATTGATTAGGTTTGTTAGTTTGTTTACAGACAATACATGTTGAACAATCGAGAAATGAGAGGTTGTAGATGGGGGTTATGACCATGTCAACAATGGTATATATTGTGGTTCTATTTCAAATCCTAGTCTTCAAAATACAATTTGAATTGAACAAGAAGCCTTGTAATCAGTGGAGACCTCAATTTTGATTACTTCCACGAGTAACTCTATCCTAGAATACGCTCTGCAGGCATTTTGAATGGGAAATGTTGTTTTCACTAGTTTGCGTCTATATTAATTGTCTCGCGTATACAATCGTTCTACACCGACTTCTGTCTTGCTGCTTCTTTCTCGGCCTGTTGTCTCAACTTGGCACCCTTTTTACCCATCACTTTGCCGAATATGGGGAGCACCACTGCCAACATGAGGTTCGTCGCCACCACCCACGCCACGAGAATCCCGTAGTTGCGGCCCATATGGCCTTTATAGGTGTCGAAAAAGACCACCTTGATGATCTCATTGGCATTATAGACGGGCAAGGCGTACCCGTAGCGGTAGAAGTTGGCAGTGAGAGTCATTGGCGTGAATGTGCACGACACATTAGCAATGACCCAAAAGATCAACCAGAACCCAAGACTAGGCGGGAACACCATTATGAGAACGTGGGCCATGATTTCGTTCATACCTCCAAGAGCACACATGGTGAGCCACATCGTCATCCAGTATACTGGGAAGCCACCACGCCCGAAAGCCTTGGTGAAGTCGATCTGAAATGCCAAAGAAACCAACGAGTATATGAGCGATAGCCAGAAGTAGGTGAGGAACGACCCAAGAAGACGGTAGAGCAAATAATGAGGCTTCTTCATCGGGTAGCCCGCCACTGTTTTGTGGAAGTCGATGAAAAAGCCGAACTGGAAGAACGTCACGATGATCAAATAGACCAACCCCACCTGCGCCGGCGCCATCACCACTGGCTGCGTCGACGGTCTCATGTCGTATGACTCGAAATCGAGTGGTTGAGAGAGTACCAGCAACCCTTTGTCCAAAATCTCTGCTGAGTTTTTCCCCTTTTGGCGAATGATATCGATCAATTGACTGTTCATATCATTTTGATGGGCCAAAACCATTCCTTCGATGATTTGACTATTGGGCACGATGTACGTGGGGACATTTTCAACGTCACGCCCCGTTTCGTAGACGAATCGCCACGATTCGTTACCGGCTGCGTAGGAAGTATTCGCATTCAACAACGCCTCATATAACCGGTGGGTGGAGTTCTGCTTAATGTAGAGGCCTCCCCAATACCTTTGCATGTGAACCAATTCCTCCACGTCCGCCTGGGTGTCGCCGGTGGAGTGCTTCGGGCGAATCTCACTGAAATTCAGTGGGGTATAAACCTGCCAATCACCATAATAGCGAGCTTCTGGCAGCGTCACCACGTCAATTACTCGGTTACCAAAAATGGGAGGCACGCCGTCGATGGTTTCGACATCTTCCACCGCCACCAAGAACTTAAGGTATTTCATGTGGTCGTCTCGGTGCATCATTGACCCCCAGTATATCGAAAAGATCCCTAACATCAAGATCCCCATCGTCAAGTATATCAGCGTGAACTTGACGACAATGCGTCTTCTCACCTGTTTCATTCGCGGGTTGAAGAACCCAAGCTGGGTTTGTACTCGTTCCAACACCGACATGTGTGATACCACCGTCTGGGCATCGTGAGCATCGTTAGCTTCGCCATGATAACTCCGGGTGTCGTCGGTCCGCTCGATTGATGAGTTTGACGCGGTGTTGGACTCCTTATTTGCTGTTTCGGGCAGCAGCATTGTCATATATGGTCTTATCCCAGTATAGGATGCCTTGTGGACCTGGCGATGCGGCTGGCGCCAGACGTTATAAGTAATTTGTAATCTCCTGTCACTGCACATGCGACCTCGGATCGTCATGCACCGTCGGACCGGTGTGCCTCCCGGTTAGTGGAAGTCGGACCGGTTCCGCAGAAACCCACTCGCCCGTGTCCGATTGGGAGCCATTACTCCCGCTTTAGTGCTTCTCCGTGTGTAGTAACGCAAGCGTTGACTAAAGGTTGTGGTGGTCATCGCGCGTGGAACTCATCTGGAAAACTCCCACCATGGGGATGACACTGATTTGTACGACATGAAATCATTCAGCTTCAGACAATTAGGAGCGATAAAGCTGTTCTAGAACACCTTTTCTGCAGCGCTTTCAATGACGTGTCCATGATCTCAATCAATGAACAAGTTGCAGGTTCATTGGTGCTAAAATTGTTCATATCAAAAGTGATAAGCTCAAACTAACGGTACCTGCAACGGAGACTGTCGTTTGTGTAACCACTTCCGATGAAAATCTTTTTGAGTGCTCAAGCTATTAGTGTATTATGATACTAAGAGTGAGAACGCCATTAAATCAAATAAATTGACAGCTGAAGCAGACAGTGTACAAACGTGACCATTCAATTTGAAATAAAGAGTCCGCAATTCAGTAGTAAATCGATGACGTCCTGATTTGGTGTACTTTTGGGTCAAAATTTCAGAGGGCCAGCAGTATACTGTGATGGCCATCTAGAACCACAGGGAAGACGTAGTAACTTGACCAACGCGCATATTTAGACAAATAATTACCACGGTTAATCCTGACCACCATTTCACTCGAATTCTGCCGTGTCGGCGCTTGGTAAGCCATCGTTGTGAGTGAATGACTACACAACCTTGGCACGCCACCAGGACTCCTTTCGATCAAGCGAAGGCAACCAAACCCTTCCAAAGTAGTTATTGTATGTAATTGGAACCATAGTATTGGATAATTCGTTTGCTGGACTGGCAGGACACTGGTTAGGGTCGGCCAATCTCGACACCGTGGCATCTTCACCGACCATGTTTGCGGTGATAATGAAACTCTCAACATACGTTCAGGGTCATCTTAGTTGGGAAACCACGTAAAGATTATGGTAGATGATGTCCTTTTCTTTGGCAATGCATTCGGAGATACAGTCCCGCTGTCCTTATTGTTGTGCGATGAGGTCGTCCGTTGACCGGAAATATGCGTTGAATAAACCCGCCTCCCCGCCAGAATTACCAGGCTGATTTATGATATCACGACGAAAATGCAAAATCTGGAGACAACTCACACATATGTAGGTTCGAATCTTGAAAGTATACAACAACTCAAAAAATAGAGTGACTGTACGCGTGTAAAAATATGATGGGACGTATTTGATAGTAAAAAGGCGATGTTCTTGTTTGCAAGTGTCCAGGCGCATTCAGCCAATGGTGGTGGGGTAGGCTGCCAGACGCGACTGGCGAGAGAACGCGTCAGCACCAAACTACCGCCAGGGAAAAGCGGTTCATACAATGTGGGCAAGGAATGCTTTCTGTGAGTGATTGCACTTTTACAATATACCCTTTTAACTAGTGTTGACGGTATTCGGGTCATTTGACCAATGCCTTGAAGTATATGCCAACTGACTGGGGCGCTTTATTGAGGCACAAAGTTACTCCAGATCCTTTAAAATAGGATCCATACCCGTAAGTTGAGGAAAAACGAACTTTTCAAGAAAACGAACTTCGCGTGCGCTAACAAAAAAAGGGGGCAATCTGCAGGACGATTTTGAAAAATGCGTGAGAATAAAGCGAACTTTCAAAACGAACTTTTTGGGTTTTAGTAGGGAAAAAGCGAACTTTTTGGATTTTAGTAGGGGAGAGTGGTGGTAGTGGACGGTGGGAGATATACGAATAGGTCGGTGCGGCAAGGCAGTCTCATCGATGTATGTCAAAGATACAGAGAAAGAGAAGTTTGAGGAATTGTCCGATGATGAAACTTGAATTCCAGGCCGCGGCGCACTTTGATGAGGCAGAGGTATCCATTGAAATTGTGGGGCAAATCCATGAGATCCCGGACTCGGACTTCATACAAGTGATTATCGCGTACTCGTTTGACGGAAATGCTCCGCTCCCCAGTATTACCACGGCAGACGGAGAAATCTCCCACTTCAGGATTTTCTCCCAAACCACAAAATATTGCACGTACTGTCGCTCAACTGTTGCAAAACTTGTACGACGTGTGGACAAGTACACTACCGTCGTGATCCGTCTGCTATCGTCGTTTGCAAGAAATGTAATACGAGACATAGGGGAACAGAGTGTCCAAAGAGAAACAAGCGCCTCAAACAAGTCCCTGAAAACATCAGTCACCCAGCTCCAAATCGTGGTACGAAACGTAACGCGGTGGGCCGAGTGCGCAACCCCCCCCCATCAGCAGGCAAATAATTTCAGACCTCCCGTGGCGGAAACCTTTGAGATTGATTACCCGTTGTTAGGAAGTCAAAGAAACCCGCAAGCAGTTGTTAACGTTGCCCAACAACTGACGAGTGCCCCTCCAACTACCTCCCTGAAACGGAAGACTCCTCCACCCACCGTTTTGACACGCCCTTCCACCGATGCCGTGATGGAAGTCGATGCGGATGGCTGGACAACCGTGTCCTATGCGAGAAACAGGTCTTCCGGAAAGGGGCGTCATTCCCCTTCACCGCCGCGGAGAACACCCTCACCCCAGCGCCAGGGAGGACACCCTCACTCCGGACGTCGAAGAAGTACTTCCCCGTCCCGGCGTCAAAGAAGTGCTTCCCCTCCTCGTTGCCAGGCAGGCACTCCTCCCTCCAGGCGCCAAGGAGACAGCCCCGTTGAACACAATATTTTCGATTTCTTGAACCCCAAGGATCAGGCGATCTTCGGCCCAGACCAACCCCAGGAAGAGGGGACAACGGCCCCTGCCCCTCCGACTTCGGCCAGCTCCCCCAACGATGCTCACGCTATGGGCGATAATATGGTAGTTGAACAACCTGAAAAGGTACTGCTGCCACCCGATCGGCCAAATGACCCCAAGACTACCTCTTCGGGCACAACGAATACCTTCAAGTCCTCTCCCAAGACGCCGCTGCCTAAGGAGAACGCCAAGGTAACAAAGCCGAAACCATCGAAGGTCGCAAAGGCGCAAGTTGACGAATCCCTTTTATCGAATGCAACTACTCAGGTGGTTTCTCAACCTACCACAAAGTCCCCCAAACACACCGGATCCTCTTCGGAGTCTGGTGCCAACACGGGTCATAATGATAGGTTGTGAGTGGTTTAATGCTCGACTCGGCGAAATTATGCTAAAGTCGGGCCATCCGAACGCAGCACGTATTGCTTCTTTCAATATTCAACGTTCTGCTGATTCGAACCGCCTCGGGAAACTTACCACCGAGTTTCAATTTGATTTTGTCTTTCTTCAAGAGGTACCACTGGGTTTTCGCCCTTCCCCTGTTTTGGAGATATCTCGTCAGTCCGTTTTATCAATGTCAGCAATCGTCTGGCCCCGCAGCACAAACAACTTTCGACCCTCACCCTGAGGAACGTGAGTCATCCCATTACATATGGTCAATTGTGTCGCAAAACAACTTGCACCTCCCGCCAGATACTTCTGAGTCGCTCACTCGTTACACGAGCGACGTTGTGGCTTTCCACAACCCCTCTAAGCAATTCTACTGGCTACTTTCGGTTTATTCACCCTGCGAAGGCACCCTGTCACACCGCGCTTTTCACGCCATCCTCCACGAGGCCATACTGAGGACCATACCCAGGCTCCGTCTTCAACATGCTGAAATCTCTTTGATTATTGGAGGAGATTTTAACTATGATCCTGCACGCACAGAGTTACACAGTGCCCCCCACCATGCGAGACACCAACCTTGGTCCGGATTCCAAGAACTCGCATGGAAACATGCTCTTGATGACTCTTTTGTTTCTATCGCCCCCAATGACGCCGACGGCAGTACGAACAGAAGTGGAAATGGTGCAAGACTTGACCGCTTTTACACATCGCCGACGGTCACATCCAGGTTGTACAGTTTTTCGAAACTTGATAGGTTTTCGGGCTCCCATAACGGCATCCTCATCACATTCCTTCACGACCCCAAGCACACGTTGTGTTTGGGTCGCGGACGATATGTTTTGAAACCGAACCCCTCTTTGGAATTTTTTATTCGAGAACGGTTTGCCACCCAAACTCCGCTGACATATGCAGAGGCGATCCTCACTATGCAAGTAGCGGATTTTGAAACGCACCCGGGATGGAGAAAAGCGGTTCAGCGAGATCCTTCAATGATACCCCTGCCTCCAGCGAGACACTTCTTGAGTAATTTCAAACCAAAGACCCTCCCCACCTATCTCCATACTTTGCGTGCCACCCCGACGTCCGACAGTACAACATCCACTGATGGTATGGTTGAGATTGGAAAACGATACTTCGCCTCGATCTATGACGGTGTGGATCCTCCCCGTTCGACAGAACTTGAGAAGTGGCTCTCCATACTCAATGGGGTTCAACTAACCCCTGAACGAAGAGAAGATTTGGAACAACCCTTTAATTTGGAAGAGCTAGATGCGGCACTTCTGAGCATGAACAATGGTGCGTCGCCTGGTGAAGACGGTATCTCGGTAACATCTTTGAAGACACACTGGAAAACATTGGGTACACTTCTTGTGCAAGAAGCCGAGTCCCTACAAAACGGTGTTCTTCTGCCATGTTTTGAAGAAGTAATCATTACGCTTATTCCGAAACAAGGCACATCGGAACTGATTCAAGATTATCGACCCATCTCCCTTTCACAATCTGGTTTATGTGTCATTTCGAGAGCCATGAATACGCGTTTGTTGAAATATGCAGACAACCTTATTGGCGTATCTCAACGAGGTTTTATCCCAGCGAGACGGATCGAGGAAAATACAACGGAGGTACTTTCCCTCATCCGCAAATTCCGGGATGACCAAAGCTATAACTTGGCGGCTATCGCCCTCCTCGACCAATCCAAAGCTTTCGATAGGGTCCTGCACCACTAGTTGAGAGAGGTATTGGTCAAGCTAGGTTTTGGCCCAAAAGCAGTAGCCTTCGCCATTGCAATAACCTCACAACAGAAGGGACGAGTTGAAATTAACAAAACTCACAGCACGCTTTTCCCGCTCTCTAGCGGAGTGAGACAAGGCAATCCGCTTCTGCCAACGCTTTACATCCTTTCACTTGAACCGTTATTGCGGTGGATCAATTTGCGCCTCGAAGGAGTTACTTTTCTGACGCAACACAAGGGTCCCCGATATTGTGCTTTCGCTGATGACATCGCTGTTTTCATCACGACTTACTCTGACGTCAGACATCTTCGAGATTTACTCGAAACAGATGCCGCAATGTCGGGTTCGCAAATCAACAAGCACAAGTCGGTATTTTATACCTTCGATTCTGAATTTGGTGAAAGACTTGGGGATTTATTGGACTTCCAGGTCAAAGACTTTAATGATGCGCTGTTCAAATACCTTGGAATTAACTATGCGGGTGTGAAATGGGACCAAGTAATTTCGCGACAGATGTGGCGGTTATCAAGCTATGACCTCAATAGCTACCCACCCCACCTTCGTGCCCAGGCGATAAATTCATTGTTCCTTTCCAGAGTGATATACCGCGACCTCACCTGTCCAATGCCAGAAGCCACGATGAAGAAGTTGGATGGACTAATTCACAAAAGTTTTTTCAACGGCATTTCTTCTGACCGGGCGTATGGCCCCGTGAATAAGGGCGGATACGGTCTCCTCAAATTTCAACAGCAACTTTTGGGACGCCGCGCGAAAATGATTTTTGATCTTTTCCAGCCAAAGGCGCGCGACAACTGGGCAAAGGATGATTTCATCGAACGCCTTCTGCTGATCGCGACCTTACAAGGGCTTCCTCCGAGCCCGCGTGCCTGGTGCAACCTACTTTTGGATCCTGATAATCTTGATGAAATCACTGCCTCAAACTTAATTGAGCCACGGGAACAAGCCTGGCTTGAGGCATGGGCGAAGTTAGTGAAGGTGAAACAGGTCCCTCCGGATATCACATCGGAACCTAAAGTTGCAGAACTACCACAACTAGTTCTTCAGGGGAAGCATGATCCAGATGGAACGACGCTTTCGGTTCAAACCTTCCACAATACCCACAAGAAACTGTACAATAAGAGGAAATGGATTGACGTCCCCAGATGGCCAGAGAAGTATTTTGGAAACGGCATGCCTCCAAACCCGCAGGAATGGAGAATATTTTGGAATCAAGTACTGAAGATTACCAACAAGCAACCATGGTCTATGGAAATTGTTTGGCAATTTTACCACGGGTATACTCAAACTTGGAAATGGAAAACCCATCTTCGGTTAACAGCAGACATACATGCTTCCTTCTATTTCCCAAGCTGTACTCTTTGCGCCGCGATCACATCACAGGAACAGCAAATCAGCAACCACACTACGTGGAACGATGCCACTGCTGAACATAGGTCGCAATTTGACAGACGTCTCAGATCTATCCAGGACGGTCTTGGAAATATACGACACACCTTATGCGAGTGTCCGGTTTCAAAAACCATATTCAGCATGGTGAATCGTAAAGACCATCCCTACCACTCAGTGACCGCTTTGTTACCCCCCCGCCGTTTTTCCCTGGTTGAACTCAACGAGGTAGCTTGCTACTTGCGAGCGACACTCCTCCTTGAGAAAGAAACACGACTAAGTGGGCGGGCTCCTGTCTCATGTACAGAAGCCACACTTAAACCGTGGATCAAAAACAACCAACACTACATTACGACGGGAAAGGGACAACACAAGGTATAATCACTTACTTCAACAACTGCGC